GACACTTCAGTTTGTTACCTCCTGTTCTGCCAAAATAAACCGTTCAATGCCAAATGATTTCTGTTGTGAGCCAGCGGCGGCTTTCATTGGAGGCACTTCGAATGGATGTGACAGTTCCAGTTTGAAGGGAGCTCTGTTTTCCCCAGATCTCTGTCGGGGTGATGCTCATCATTAGACTTCAAACGCTAACACAACTCCCTCTTACATGAATATATCTATACATACGAGCCAGTGGCCAGACCTAAGAAGGTGCTGGATGGGTCTGTGGGTTGTGTAGGTGAACCAGCCTCCCTATAAAGTCCCTTCCCTACAGTGGGATCCTCCCTAAGGCGCTGTAAAAGTGTTTGTATGTACACACACGCGTCTGTGTGGCTGCTTTTCTGTACATGCCACCAGTTTCTCGGAGGGAGATGGTCTCAGTGAAGCGTGAGTGGGAGGCTGATTTCCCCAACTGCAGTGCCTGCTCCAATCGAACTTTCCACTCATGCTCCCTGCTTTGTTAGATATTTCTCAAGTAAGTCTCTTTCAAGCTCTTTCACACGCACACACAGCCGACTGGAATGGGTGTGTGTTTAGGGAAAAAAAAATAAAAAGCACATGTGAATGTATTGTTGCACACAGACATGCAGAACGTCTGGGTTTCTCGAGCAGATCCCTGGAGGAGGTTTCCTTTCCCGGCCCATGTGCCCGTTCACAGCCAACACACACACACACACACACCTTCACTCACAGTATTCCTGTAGGGTCAGCGTGTCACCAGGCGTGCTCACAGTGCTCCATCACTTCCTTCCACTGGGACAATAACTGTGACTTCCTGAGGATCGACCTTCACCGACTCACTTCTGTCACTCTTCACATGGGCATGTGTGTGCGCTGCCAGGGGGGGAGTGAGCAGCAGCAGCAGGAGAGTGTGTGTTTCAGAGTGTGTGTGTGTTGGGCTGCCTTTTTCAGCTGACTCCTCTGTTTCTGGTATTTTAATGGCTCTTATGGGGCAGGCCTTTAATTGTAAGTCTCTCTCCCTCTCTTCCTCTCTCTCTGTCTTAATCCTCCCATCCCTCTGTCCAACCTCCCCCTCCTTCTCCTCATCTACTCCCTCCTTCTCCCCGCTGCTCCCGCCTCCCGCCTGCTGACAGTCACTAGGGGAGCCAGAGTGCCTGGCCAGAGCCGCGGAGGCTGTATAGGATATTGACTTGCTGCGGAGTGGTTTGGGAGGAGGAGAGGTGGCTGGCTGTCACAGCTAATGAATAGATGCATAAATGAATGAGGCACTCCTTCTGTGCCTATGTGTGTGTGTGTGTGTGTGTGTGTGTGTGTGTGTGTGTGTGTGTGTGTGTGTGTGTGTGTGTGTGTGTGTGTGTGTGTGTGTGTGTGTGTGTGTGTGTGTCTTTGTGTCATTGTGCCAAGCAATGGCCACACTGCAAAAGTACTCTCACCACTGAACTTTTTCATGTTTTAACTAGATACGACAAACCCTAACTTGCCGATTGGGATCTTTCAAAAAGTAACACATAATTGTAAAAACTTCGAATAAGGATCCATCTTTTTCTTTTCCTTGGTAGCTCTGGGTGTATGTTGAGGGGGGTTTTCCTGCTGGAAGGTTAACCCCCACCCAGTTCCATCTATCGTCTCATCAACTCTCACCTGCTTCTCACCTGCTTCTCCATCCCCCCATTGTTCACCTTGGAGATTGTTTTCTCTGTCACAGTGAGTGAAAAACGTGTGATTTCTATCTTTTCTACTCACTAACCCCCCCTTTATGCTTGATGCTTCCACAAAGGATTTCTAATGGTTTTCTCACCAACATGGCTTTCTTTTTGCTTGTTTTTTTATTAATAAAGACCAGATCTGTTGCTTTCATGACTAATGCAGTTGTTTTCTTGTCAACAGGTTCTCTAATCAGAGTTGTGCTTCTGTCTTCCTGTATTAATTGTGTATTGTATTCTGTATTTCATTTTATTTTATAGAATAATATATCCATCCATCCATTTTCTAGCTTGCTTATCCCAAGTGGGGTCATGAGGGGTGCTGGTGCCTATCTCCAGCAGTCAATGGGCGAGAGGCGGGGTACACCCTGGACAGGTCGCTAGTCCATCGCGGAGCAACACAACAGACAAACAACCATTTACACACACCTAAGGGGACTTTAGAAAAGCCAATCAATGTTTTTGGACTGTGGGAGGAAGCCGGAGTACCCGGAGACGACCCCACGAATGCTCAGGGAGAACATGCAAACTCCATTCAGAAAGATTCTGGGCCGGGAAACAAAGCCAGAACCTTCTTGCTGCAAGGCAGCAGTGCTACCACTGTGCCACTGAGCTATAATGATATAATATTTAGAAATATATTTCTTAATTTCAGTCAATGTAATGTTATTTTGATGTTGATATAAACAACATGAAAGCCTCAGAATAACTGCCAAGCATACCCACAGCAAGCCTGTACAAAAATCTGAGAATTATTTTCGCCATGTTTATAAACTCCTCCAATATAACAGTTTAAAATTATTTGCTCTAAAGAGAAACAGTAATTTTCTCTTGTTTCTTGCAGGTGTAAAAGCAGAGTTATTGGAGTTGTTCTATATGTTCTTTGTTTTTTTTTCCTAATTTATTCTCCCTCTCTTTCTCTATTTCTCTCTCTCCCTTTAATTCTTATCCCCTCATTTTCTCACGTTCTTTTCCGTCTCTTTGTCCATTGCATATGATTGTTTTCCCAAAGTCGCTTCCAATAAAGTTTTATATAAAATTACCTACTGGAATCTTCTGGTGACAGCCATGATGGTCCACTTGTGAAAGAAAATCTATTCGGCCGTTATCCAGCACCGGACATAGATTCAAATGCCATATTGGCAATCAGGGACAAAAAAAAAAAAAAAAAAACTACATAAAACCAACAACTTCAGTCAGTGACAACAGTGCAACACTTTAATCAAAGATTGGGATGTATATATTGAAATATCTGAAATGTGTTTAAAAGTTATCAACATTACAGAATGAAATCACGTTTTGATAAAAGTTTATATTGAGCTGTTCAGCCCTAATTGGGGTGTATTTTTAAAACATAACCTGACTTTTAACCTCACCACAAGGTTATCCTTTTGTCTTTATGTTAATCTTTCATTTTTTTTCTCTAACAAAGGGGTTCCCAAACTTTTCAGCCAGGGACCCCAAAAAACAACAACAATCACTAACTTAACTCTTCATTTATTTAGACATATGAAGCTTATTATATTGCATTTTGAATGAATTATGTATTAAAAAATTATATTTAAATATTTAATTCACAATTTTAAATGTACTTTTAAGTGGGACATTTAAATATCATTTCACAATTTAATGGTTTATTTAGTATCGCAATTATATATGAGATAGATAAATATTAAATCTACTAAGTTCATGATAAATTTATTTATTTCAGTCACATTTGTGTCTTTTAATGTATATTTTGGCCCTCTGTGTTCGTTAGAGATCACATCGCAATGATTTTAGTCCTTCCACGCACTGAGTTTATATACTTCTAATGCAGTTGATTGTTGTGGATTTTATTTGGGGTTGTCAGATTATATAGGGTATAGCTAATGCATGCCATGCTTTAAAACCAATACTCTGAAGTTTGTGGTTGGAAATTCACAACTGCAGCAAAGTTGGAGCAGTTTGTATACTTTGCATTCATGTGGAGATTGTTTACGCGGCCCTCTGAGCCTTTTTATGAGCCTCGTACAGAAGCACTTTCTCACGCTTGATATTGATAATTATCAAGGGTGTGATAACGGTCTCTCTCGCCCGACACATGCATATACGAATGCTCCCATAAATCTGGAATGAGGCGGGTGGGAGTTTACAGGTTGGGATCAAACTGAAGATACACAAAAAAAAAAAAAAACTCCAATCCAGTTAAGTGCCAGCACCCTCCAGCTGCTCTGTATTTTTCCCTCTCGCTTCCCTCCCCTTCCCTCCACATCTCAAATCTTTTGTCATATCGGTGTCGAGCCGGAGAGCTCTCATGCCAAACTGGGACACACACACACAAACCCATACATACACCAAGACACAGAGGATAAGAAAGAAAGAAAGTCTGGAGAGGAGAGTGTTGATCTGAGGGGGCAGATGAAGGAGTGTTGGAGTGTTGATGTCGTCCTCACTATTGCTTTGTGCCACATTTCAAAAGCTGATTGCCTTAAGAGGATAATTTACATTTCATAGTCTTTCACAACAAGTGGGTGAGATGGGAGTCGATGATAGATGGATAGAGAGGGGTGTTTGAAGGAGGAAACCAGAGGTGAGAAAGTTCACCGAGCAAAGAGAAAATGAAGAGTTGCACGAGTAACTAAAAAGCGTGAGGTACAAACAGCAGTTGCTTTTGGATGCATTTCTTTACGTCTCTGTTTGTGCGTATGTAGGTGTATGTGTGTGTATTTGGTTGTTTTGTTTTTCTCCAGCTCTTGGAAAAATGCACCTGTATGATTTAAGCTTTTCTTTTTTATTCTTGAGTTCATATGAGTAAGAAAAGAAGGGTAGTAAAGAGGCGAGATGAGGAGATGAGAGGAGAGCCGCAGGAATTAAGAATAAAGTTTGTGAGAGGCTTTATCTGAATGGCAAACTGCAAAATTACAAAGTGCAGGAAAACTTTTCCTATCAGCACACTTTCTCAGCCAGTGAATAGGCCTGTACCCCCTGTGTATGTGTGTGTGTGTTTATATAGTGCAAGTATGTGTATTTAGGAGATAGCTTTTCCTCCCCAGTGGAGGACGAGCAAAGTCTGATTGGTTGTTGGCCCTGAGGGTCTGTCCTCTGTATCTGCTTCCTCACTGGCTGCCCTGTGACCAATCAGGTGGCCAAACCTCACCTTGGCAATCAGATAGTGACAGTCTCTCTATGGGCATCAGCAGGTCATCTAGAAATACTGCAGTTGTTATGTGTTATCTCCTTGTGACACACAAACACACACACCATTTGGTGATGTACAGACACTAATATAACCCCCTCCTTTCTCCGCTTGTCTAGGAGATTGCTGCATATCTCATCACTTTTGAGAAACATGATGAGTGGCTGACGACATCGCCAAAAACCAGGTGAGAACAGACAATAATTTACTCACACACCTACTTTTTTCTCTTCAACATTCACAGATTTACATAAAATAAACATAATTACTATGATAGAGGATATCCTTACCAGGCATTTTGCAATAGCATTGTCTGATACTATGTTAATGTTGTCAAAGTAAAGCAAGCAAACGCTGAAGCTTAAAAGTGTCTAGAAATGAGAACACTACATGTTGTTAGCATGACATGGTCTTTTTAGTATAGAGTTTTGATCAATTCAACTCTATCCATTACAGATGGTTCAGGTTATTTTTTTTCTGTACAGTGACATATTTTGTTCATCAGGGGTTTCTGCAGGACAGTCTAATATTATATCTGACTCAACACAAAAAGCCACTCTCCCATCAGGCTCCTGCTGACGATGTTTTAATGCAGCGCAACTTGCTGAGGTGCTAGATCTCCCAGAGTTTGTGCAAGTTTCATTAAGCTTAATTTAAATCCTGTTTGAAGTTCAAATATAACCAAGCCAGCCTAATAACACTTATTTATTCGCTTATTTTTAGCTTATATAATAGCTTCAACACATATTATGTAACTTTTTCCACCAAACTTGGTTGGGTCTTTTTTAGCTGTGAAAAAAGGCTCAAGCAAAACTCAAGCTACAAGACTAGTGAACTAGAGGATAACTACTCTAACTGCCAGAATCAGAGCACTGATCCCACATTTTGGATTCAATCTCTGTGAATGAATTATATGAGTGTGATAATGAGGTGTGAGTTATATTAAAGAAAGAAAGAGTCTTTCAGAGACGTTCCATCGCGGGCCGGATGTATATTTTGATCCTTTAAAAAAAAAAAAAAATTCTGTTTTCCAAGCAATCAGCAAAATGTTTGGAGCTTTTCTCCAGCTTTTCACCTAATCTTATTAAATAGAAGATCAACCCGAGAAGAGCAAAATATTCTCAACTGTAACTCATCTTGTTTTCCTTTTGGAAATGTTTATTATTATCTTCATTGCCGTCAGTGTTTATAGCAAAGGACAAAATACAGGTATGAGAAGATAACTACCATTACATCACTCGCCAACCGCAAAGCCCAAACAGATGTGAAGAAAGATATCTATAGGATTTAAACTTTGGAAAGGGAAAGAAAAAATATGATTTTATTGTGAAAAAGTTGTTTTTTTCAAAGTTTTTGTGTGCTAATGCCCACCTAAAACTATTATTTTTTTAGTTTAAAACAGTACCTAAATAACATGTCTGTCCAAATTCCTACAGTAGCTGAATATGTAAGCAAAGCAAAAACCTTTTTTAGCAGAGATTGTGTGATACAGACTTTTTAAGACCAATACAGATATAAATTATTTTGACATCAGCAATTGATCTTTGAACTGTGTTGCCGATAGGGTTGGGAATTGAAAAGATTTTCACGATTCCGATTCCCTTTTCGATTCTATGAAACGATTCGATTCTTTTTTCGATTCCAATTTGGGGAAAAAAGGAGAACAAACAGTTTGATTATCAGCATCAACTTTGTTTACTTAACTATTGCACAATCTTACAAACTCAACAAGATCAAGATGTCCACAGGAAATGTGAAACTGGAGTAACATCTGTGTTTAAATTAAAAATGAATACAAGAACAAACTTAATAACCAACAATGTCTAATAACAAATTATGGGATAATAACCTATTTTAAATAACAAAAAATACTAATTATAAAACAGTAGTAGGGAAAATTAACAGTTCTTTTGCAGAAAGATGAGCATATCTGCTTTTTCTGAAAGGATACGGGATCTTTCAGGGCTTATGGTGTCTCCAGCCGTGGAGAACACCCTCTCAGATGGGATGGAGGAAGCCTGCACACAGAGGTAGTTTTCAGCCAGTCCAGATAGCAAGGGCAGCGTATCTTGCTTGTTCCACCACCACAGTGTGCCGCTATCCCTGCAGGGGATGGAGGGCAAGCTTTTATAGAGCTGGATTTCCTGATGTACCCTCTGGGCTAAGGAAAGACGGGGCTTTGATTCACAAAGTGACCGCAGCTCGTTGTCTTCCTCCTCGAATAGTTCTTCCAACTTGCGTAACTTGCGTAACTTGCGTAACTTACGTAACGTACGTAAAAAACGTGACGTAAGCCGTGCTCCCCAGAGCCGGCGCTCTAGGCTCTGGTGCTGCGGGAATCGAAAAAAGAATCGTTCAGCGAGCTGCCAAACGATGCCATGGAATCGGAAAATACGGAACCGGTTCTGAACAGGAACCGGTTTTCGATTCCCATCCCTAGTTGCCGATATCTTTGTGCGTTTCTTAGAGGTAATATAGTTTTTGTCCTCCTTCATTTACATGATAAAAAGGACAAACGTAACACAAGTATACATCTTTACCTAAAAGCAAACATTTTGTATCAATTCAAACTAAACATTAACAAAGGTAAACAAATGGAGGGAGCAGCACCTTCTTTGGAAATATTTGCAAAATCTGGCCATAACTTTTTTAGTTATTTTGAAAACAAACAAACTGAAAACGATGAAAACCTAACCTTTGCGGCAGAAGTGATCAAATAAACTAGCCCCACCCGTCAGCGGCCAAAATCATTTTTGCCTGCGAGTGCTCTAACCTCGATCAATGCCCCAGGCCCTAGAACTGGTGGGCCAATCACAACACTGAAGAAAGCAAAACAAGGAAGATGGCAACAACTGTTGTACAGTTCTTGTTTGACTCAGCTTTGGAATCAGTTCTGGAAGGATTAGACTTGGGGTTTTTGTTGAAACGTGAGCAGGAAGAGGCTCTTTGCTCATTCATTTTTAAGAAGGATGTATTTGCTGTTTTACCGACAGGCTGTTTATTTACACTCCCCCACCAGCTTCTTGTTGCACTTACTGCGTCACAGTCAGTTGCGCTCATTGGTCAGAGCATTGGCCAATAGGCGCAGACATGGTTTGAAAAACAACGTTTTTTTTCTGATCAACTATCTTACGATGTCTCATTCATCGGGGCCAGACTAAATTATGCATTTACTCTCACATTTAGTCTGCTTCATAAGAATACAAATAAACTACAACTCCTTTAAATCGCTAAAGTCTAACCTTCAAAGGCATTTGAAAAAAAAAGTTTTACTGCTTACAGATCTCAACATTGCAATAAAATAAATAAATAAATTCTTAAACTTGGTCATTTATTCAATCCAGTTCTTCCTGTCGCTTCTCAGTTTGGACACTAATGAAACCACCAACATGTGCACATATCAACCGATACTGATACATGCAAATAATGCTGATATTGGCCAACTATTCAACAGGCGGATGCATCAGTCTGTCTCTACTGTTTAGTACTCCACAGTTACAATAGCAGCGAAAGATTTGGATTCTAATGAAACCTATTTCGAGGGAGAAATTTTTGTTCTAGAAGCATGGTTTAAGATTGACAAGCACACCAAGAGGGGATTAGGGACTTAATAAAAAGACAGATTTCCATACAATTATAACAACAGCAAGAGATAACATGAAAACCAAATATAAAGTTCTTTATTAGTTGTTCTTGATCTATTTTTAGCGGTAAAGAACAAATTATGTATAATAAGCGTAGCAGAAGTTTCTAAAGGATTCTCAAACTTTCAGTCCACGTGGTGCCAGCTCATGCATCACTCACTCAGTCAATTACTCATTGTAGTTTAATCTCAGTGAGTAAGTGCCTGTGTTTGATTAAAACATTACTAATGTACATCAACTGTCTCCCTCCTGCTAACGGCCCACTCCACATGTAAAGAACCCTCCAGAACATGAGCGCACCGTAAAGCTCCTAGTCAGCTGGAAATGGAGTATTAATGAATGTAAATGTATTAGGATACATGATGTATAATTCAGGCCTAGGACGGTGAGATGGGGGTGGGGTTTAAAGGGAGGAGCAGCATGTGTATAAAAGATGGGAGGTGAACAGGGGATCACATGCCAGGAGTGAATATTCATTGAGCTGAAGGACCCATAAGTGGCGCTTTTTCCTAGAATGGAGTGCTGAGAAGGAGAGCTGCAAGGAAGCCAGAACAGAATAGAAGAATTGGTGAAAAGGGCAAGCTGAATTATTGATGAATCACCTTATTGACATTTACTTTAGTTAATACAGATGCACTGTAGGTATATACTGTGGAAAAGAGAATAGAATAAAGAATGAAAGGAGCAGGAAGAGAAGAGAGAAACAAAGGGAGGAATGGAAAAGTGAAAGTGAAGCGAGTGAATCGGTCACCTTGTGCCCCCATTTCTGATTACTGACACTGTTGAAAGACTGAGGTGATATCTGTGTGCTCTTATTGTGTCAGCCTAAGGACTCCTGTCAGGAGCAGCCGGAGGCCACCAGCACGGTTTATGTTGTGGATGGATTTCTCATTGATTGGCTGTGCTGCCATTACAGCCTCAGCAGCAGCAGCAGTGGCAGCAGCAGCAGCACCAGCAGCAGCAGTCATATTGGTGTTATTGAGCAGCAGTTAGATATAATCCCATTTACACATGACATGAGGCCCGATTAGAACAGATTACACCTAATCCCATCAGATGGAAAGGAGCTCAGCAAACGGAGCTACTGACATTTACATGACTGCATTTTTTCTTTTTTTGCTAGGCTTCTGAGGGAGACAACATGAAGATCACTAAACCTTGATTTCATTCATCTCTGAGCTGTTTTATCAATTAAAAGTTACCTTCCCCTTTTTCTTCGCCCATCCTTCTCTACCCCCGTTACCGGACTCACTCACACACCCACTCTTCCTCTTAATTTTTGCTTTCGGGTTTTTTTTTTCTCCCCACCATCTCCTCCCTCTTTCCTTCCCTGTTTTTGCTCTGCTACACCGTGGAACGGCTGAAAAGCTTTTTATGTCCCACACATCACAGCCTAGTTACAATCAATAGCATTTATGTCTGCCTGAATCACAAGGTTCGCGAGGTGCACGCATGGGCAACCGTCCCCGTGCGCGTTCCCCTCGTCCACATACGAAACGAGCACACGTCTGCCGCCCACACACAAACAGGCGTTTGATCTCATCCATCTTCTCCGTAACATAATTAGAATCAGCAGCTCTCAGATGACTCACGCTGCCTGAGACAGAGACTATACTTGGCTTTGATCGGAGGGTGGGGGTCTCCATTCCACTAAGAAACTGGCAGGCTGGCCCCCAAAACAGAACAGATTTAAGGTGTCAGAGAAAATCAGCTCACAGTAAATTCAATTTCGCTACACACGGCCTTCTGAGTACGCCGCTATCATCTCAGTCCACATAGATGTGTCGACATTGAATTCAGAGCGGAGAGGAGAAAGAAAAGGCGGTTGGTACTAGGAGGAACAGATGAGATGAGAAGAACTGCAGGCGAGAACCGGGGGACAGTAGAAGTTAAAAAAAAATTAAACGAGGAGATGCGATAAGAGGGAAGAGGACTTGAGGCGGATTGAGAAGTGAAGTGCAGCGAGGGAAAGGAGGAAATGTGCATCTTCTCAGGCGACTGTCTTTGAAAAAGCATTTCTGACAACATCCTTGCAACTTTTTCACAAACTGCCATGTTAAAACTAGAGATCAACCGATAGAGGGTTTTCACTCATGTGATCTCAAGGCATGGCTGCTGAATGCACTAATGAATTGGTGAACACATGCATCAGCCGATAGCGACACAAGAATTAACATTAAAATAAACGTTAATATCGGCCGGCCGATTAGTCTGTCTATTATCTCCTGTTTAACCATTGACTTATTTTCAACATAATTGGATTTTTTTTGATAGAATATAAGACACACGTGTAAATAGGATGAAATAAATGATTGACCCTAACCCTAACCCTTTGAAAGAATAGTTCAAGTTTTTGGACCTGAGGTTGTGTGAAACATCCAATGTCTGTAGCTGCTTGCTACAGGTCCATACCTACACCAAGCCTCCTGCTCGGCCAGTATTGGACTAAAGAAAATGTAGTTCTGGTATGATACCGGGCCGCAAATAATCAAGTTTTTTTTAAGCTAAAAAAGCTATGCATATCCTCTGTTAGACTATTTCAACAATTTCAAAACATCCAGACATCAGAACTTGATATCATCCAACCATCCCTCATCCTGCTTAGTCTTTGTCAGAATAACGTGGGGTTGGTATCATTCTCTGCCTGTCTATGACTAGGATGCGGGGTACACCCTGGACAGGTCACCAGTCTGTGGCGAGGCAACACAAAGACACACACCCATGCACACACACTCACTCTTAAGGACATTTTTTTATAGAAGCTAATTAAGCTAACAGACATGTTTTTGGACTGTGAGAGGAAGCTGGAGTACCCAGAGAGAACCCACGCATGCACAGGAAAAACATGCAACCTCCATGCAGAAAGACCCCGGGCCAGGAATCGAACCCAGAACCTTCTTGCTGCAAGGCAACAGTGCTACCAACTGCATCATGCAGCCCTCTTCATATCAATTAGGACTATTTTTGGCCTGCTATCACTCCACCATGTAGGAGCAGAAGACAGCTCCTGTGAAATGGAATAAACTTAACAGCTCATCAACACAGTGAATAGTCAAGAGTTGTTTACAAAATTGAACTATTAGTCTATTATTACTCAAAAAATAAATTGTATCACTAAAAAATAAATAGTAGCCCAATATTCCGTGAATATCCTTTACATATTACTATAACAAAACAGAACAGTGCATATGAATAGACCTCCACTCACTTGACTCTTACCAATCCTGTTCAAAACCAGGACTCATCTAATTTTTTAAATAAGATTCATCTTCGTATGATACATTAATTTGGATCTGACTGTTTTGTGCTGCTCCCAAAGGTTAGTTAGGGAACTTGAAAAAAACCTTTGGAGGAGATTTAAGCAGAGTTACATTATAAAAAGATAATCCCAATATTTGAACGTCTCACAGAACGTTGTTCAATATATTATGGTGAAATTGGAAGACAATTACACACCTACCCATACATTGCTGCCCATCTAAACCGAGAAAGCAGGGGAGGAGTGCATTAAACAAGGATGAAACTAAGACATCACAGTAGCTCTGGATGAGCTGCAGGTGACTAGAAGTTGGGTCCTATACCAATCTGGTTATTACTTAGTATATGAGATCTCGTTAAAGGTGCTGGCCTACACACATAATGCTATGTGAGGTAGAAAAATATCAGATTTATGGTTACTGATTTTCTTCAGCAGTGCCTTACATGCCGGTAAGAGATGATGGAAGAAGATGGATGGAGCTTAATGAGGACATTCCTGGAGGAAAAAACATTTTATAAACCCCAGAAGACCTAAGGCTGGGACTGTTTAACTCTGTATAAAACCAGAACATCTGCAGAAATATCGACCATCTTTATGCTGTATGATAAAAACTGCCCTGTCAAAGTCCACAACTATTTGGATTAAGAACTTTAGGTAAAACTTGGAAACTGATGTTTACAGATGCTGTCCAGCTGATGGCATTCTTCCCATACTATTTTCCAGAATTAGCAGATATTTCCGTCTCTGGTGTTAAAAGAAAATCCCTCCCAAGCTGCGTAGAGTTGATAGAGAACAGACCTGAAGCTGTCCTTGTAGAAAGTATTGATTCAGTGTGCCTAATAGCAAATGCATGCAACCCTTTTCAGATTATCCTATTAGAAGAAAATGTGGTAAATATGTATTACTTTCCTTCTGCCTCACAATTATGCACTGCTTGAGCAGATCTATTTAATAAACCCCATTAAAATACATTAAAGTTTGTGGTTGCAAGGAAATGTGAAAGGGTTTATGGCGTATAATTGCTTTTGCAAGGCAATGTATGTTAGTTTATTGATTGTTAACTAGTCTGTTCTCTCCTCCTGGTGTCACAAGATAAGGAAGAGCAGCATTTTTTTATTCCTTTTACACACACGCACACAATCTATCACACACATATTCCTAATGTTTTTAAAAGTAATGATTGATCGCCCAGCAGCAGGTTTGACTTTGAGCCCCAAAGAAGACGCAGCAGCAGGCCCTGCAATGTCTGATATCACTATTATACCCCTGTCTTTGTTCATGTATGACTCCTGTTGTGTGTCTTTGTGATGGTGTGTGTTCATCCCACCAGGTGTGTATAGAAAGGGAGCTTAGAGGCCAATGTTCTTGCTGTGCCAGTAAATCACCCTACTAAAATATTAACATGTTGGAGCACAGGGCTATTTATGTGAGTGGGGAGGGTCGGCACGTGAAACTCGCCAACAGTAGCGCTGATGTCACTGTGCAAAATGCTGCATGAGGTAAAACTATGCAGAAATAACGACGATCCTTTCTTTATCCTGTCCTACTGCAGGCCTCAGAATGGCTCTATGATCCTCTACAACCGTAAAAAGGTGAAGTACAGGAAAGATGGCTACTGCTGGAAGAAGAGGAAAGATGGGAAGACCACCCGAGAGGATCATATGAAGCTTAAAGTCCAGGGGGTAGAGGTAAGAGAGTGGGAAATGGAAAAACAAGTCGATGACGGTGTTTGCTGCCAACCTTGTCCTTCACTCACTCTCCTCCATTCGATGGAGACACATACATGCAACCCAAACGAACGCACAAAATCACCCCCCGCTTAGTCTACAGACCAATTTGTGCCCTGAAAGTGAGTGGTGCCCCTCTTTGTTCTCCCCCCTCCTCCTCCCAACTCCTCCCAGCTCCAGTCTCTGTCTCCCTTCCTCTCTCTTTCTGAAGGATAAGAGTGTGTTTGGCCTCAGGCCAGGAATGATGTCAATGCCTCCTTCAGCAGAACAGAGAGGGGTATCGATCCAGTCTCAAGGCAGCGTATCTGCATGTGTTTGTGAGGGTGTGTATGTGTGCGTTTGAGTCACATCAGCCAGCGCAGAAATTGATTATTCAGCAGGAATGTACCGGGAGGTGAGAGGAGTGAGCATGCATGTGTCAGAAAAAGAAAGAATGAGCTGGAGAGGAGAGCAAAGGAGAAACTGTGATGAGGCACACGGATGTTTACAGGGGACTCAGTGGGTTTTGCATTAAAAGTAAACAAGAAACAGCTTGAAGAAGGACTTACTGAGAAGGCCTGACATCAAATACGTTGCAGTTATTCCTTTGCTTTTATGCATTTCTGTGCATATGAACGTCCACAAACAAACATGCACACGTCCCTGGTAGTTGGTCAGTAATTGTTTGTGTCACTCCTTCTCAGGACCCCCTCAAGCGAGCAAGTAAGTAGCGTGTAGAGCAGGGAATGGGAATAAGTGAACGAGCAGAGCGGCGAGATGAGCAGAGGGAAAGAAGAAGAAGGATGGGGAGAGGCAGGAAGCATTAGAGAAAAACATAACCCTGGATGGAGAGCCTCCTCATATCGAATGGAAATATATGGAAATGAACTTTGCCTTTGGCAAAACACACTTTAGATAGAGAGCGGGCTACTTCTGAGAGGGGAAAAATGGCAACAAAACATGAGTGTGTACGAGCGTGAATGAGAAAGGAAAACAAAACAAGCTTGTAGTGTAAATGACATACTGTCTGATTGGAAGTATTTACAATTTCAGCAATTTCATCTTTAACAAAAGCTGCTTTTATAAATGTGCACGTATACTCGGGTGTGGGTGTGTTGATTTTTTTGCTCACGATGTGGCGGTAATGACCTTGATGGAAGGCTTTTCTGCTCTCACTTCATCTGTTAAACATTACAACACTCTTTTCACCAAGGCCAGGCTTTGGACATTAATAAATCTTTTAGAGCTGAGAAAAGATTTTTTTTTCGTTTTGCAGAAAATGGGAAAATTTTGAAGAAGCAAATCTTTATGTGATGTCCAATTTGCCTCTTCTTCCTATCCTTGGACTCTCTGATCAAATGGGGTTTGCGATGTTTGTTTATGATGGCATAGATCAATGTGCTGGATTAAATATTTGTTCAGAAACCTTTTTTTTTCCTGCTCGCATCATATCGAAATAGTTTATTCTCTACTCAGTATTTCACACCATGTTAGATATTACGGATAACTCCATTTGTGCAAAGCTGCAAATCCATTATTGCTATTACAGACAGACATGTTTCAAAAGCTTGGAAAAATAAACTATATGAATCTTACATAGTTTCATTACAAACATTACAAATTAGTTTAGTTTTTTTAGAAAGTTGGAATACTATATAAGAGAATAATCATTTTACAGATATTTATAAAAAATGTCTTAGTTAGTTGAGTTTCTTTCTACATGTCAAAATTACTCAATATAAACTGTATGGGGTGCTGCTTAGAACCAAATGCAGTGATAACATTGTCATTAAAACAGGTAGTGGTGCTTTTAGGTACTCACTTCACCGATTGCCAATCACAGCAAACCCCTGAAAGGGTTTTTTACATCACAATCCTCTCAGTGCTGCAGTTAATGTTTTTTTTATTGCACTTTTTCCTTCCACTCATTTTCCTGCTAATATGCTTCCGTTCTTTAGCAATGTACCTTTCATGGCTCCCTGGCAAGGCACATTTGTTTACAAAGCACATTTCGGTTGCGAGACAATTTGAAGTGCAGTATATGAGAAGAGGGGGAAAAAAAGTACATTGCAGGGGCATTCATAGAAGGAACATTACAAATGAAAGAGAATAACATTGAATCGTTAAAATACAACATTTATACATAAAAGAAGACAAAATAAAAGATGGAATTACTTTAAAAAGTTGAAAGAAAGGAAACAGTACAGATCACATACATGTTTGATTATGATTTAAATTAACTGAGTGTTTCAGCCTTTTTACAATGTTCTGGGCATTTGATCCAGATTAGTGGAGCATAAGAAGTAAACTGTTCTCCTTTTGGGTGGCAGCGACTGTCTGCCGAGTCAGCAGTCCTCCCCATGTTTCTGTAACATTAATATAACGCACCTCTATTAAAAATGCCATTTCTTTATATTTCTTACGTAATATTCCAACTTTCCAAGTATTTTTTTTTTTTTACTTTTAGCTGAAACCCCAATAGTCAGAATTCACAATATTTGGGTAACAAATCAACCTGATTTATAAGGTTGTCTTTTCAAAACAGGTTTTTGAAATTTATTAACTGAATTAATTATTAATTTTAACTAATATTCTGATTTAGCAAGTTGCACCTGTATTTGGTCACCCTCTGCTTTGTCCTTTTATAAGCATCCTTTGCAGTCACCCCATTTGCTGTTGCTAAAACAAATTGTAATATAAACAAAGGTCCCTATTAACTCTAAAAGTCCTGTTTTGCACAGGCTGTGAGTATTTGCTGTGTCTTGTGCTGTTGTTGTTCACATTAGATTGATGGTATTTTAGAAAAGACATTAGGGAAGAAAAAAAAACATATACAGCATGTTTTCAATTTACTTTCAGCACCACAATCAATACAACCTAAGTGGGTATAACCTAAGTTCTCCTCTCCGTTCTCTCCCTCCCTGTCTTCTCCTTCTCCACTCCCTTTTGGCGATTTTTCTTTGTCCTGCTTCCTCCCTTCTTCTCTTCTTGTTCACCATTGCGATCTCCTCTCCTCTGCTGTCCTTTCCTATCCTCTCTCCAGTGTCTGTATGGCTGCTACGTCCACTCCTCCATCATCCCCACCTTCCATCGTAGATGCTATTGGCTGCTGCAGGTAAGCTCTCCGCCCTTTTCCCCACTGTGCCTCAGATATGTTTACCTAAACTCAAGATGGCGGTGGTTGCAATTTGATGATACTTGGTAATTTTTTTCTTTTTTGATGTTTATTGTAGACACAACAATCTGGAAATCCAGCATAAAAAAAACAAACTTGTGGATTCACACAGGGTCAAAATTGCACTTTAACTCTCAGATATATTCATACAATCCTCACTGATCTTTGACTTCTTATCCCGTCAGCATGTTGGACCTCAACACACCCTGACTGTAGCCATCAAAAAGCTTCTGGCACAATTCTGGCTGGATAGTGTATTCCACCACTTTTCCTGGTAAAATTGATAGAGCTCATTTTATTTGGCCGATTTCCAGGCATTTATCTGAGATTTAAGTAGAGTCCATAAATTTTAAGTAGGGTTGAGCTCAGGGCTTTCCAGAAGCTGATTCATCTAATTCAGTAGCATTTGTGGTGTGTGTCGGGGATTGTTTTCTTGTTGTAAAATCTTCGTCTTTGATTTAGGCAACATGGGCCGGAAGGGTGTGAGAAAAGAGGCACATGACCTCCAAATCACATCAAATAAAATAAAAAATGGAGGCACCCACATTTTTTGTGTATGTTCCCTTATCAGCGCGAGAAAGCATGGATTTTAAACATGCATTTTATTGCAGGCGTTCATCCATGAACCCCTTTGAACCACCTTTTTATGTCAGAGGAAACTGCTCAGTGAAGTGAGGGCCTCTAACCTTCCATATCTTCCTCCACAGGGAAGTGAATGAACATTTTCCTGTTGGAAACAAGAATTTGACGCACATTTTTCTTTCACCATAGAGCTAAGATGCCTCCTCTTTTTTGCAGCTGCCCATACTAACAAGCCAGCTGTATTTTAGAGAACAGATGAACCGTTAGGCAAAGATTTTCAGGAAAAAATTAAAAGGCAGGGAGCATATTCAAAGGAGTCAGTGTGATGTTTTCCAAACTGTATTGACAGGCAAACATGGTGGTGTCTGCATACATATGTGGGGTTGTTTTGCTACCGGTGGCACTGGTGCATTTCAGTGGATGGGGTAATGAAAACTACACGCATGCTGTAAATGTTGCCCAGACTCTGCATACCTGAATCAAATGGACGGATCATTAGTGCGCCATGCCTACCAAAGCTGAAACACTGACTCAGGCATTTGTATCAGCTCTGTTGCATTAAGCACACATCTGAACATCCTTAATGACTGAAACTATTAAACCCCTAAGCTTAACAGCTGATTATTGTTGAAAGGTTAAACCATTTGGTTTGTTTTTGAACAGCACAAAGGATCCAAACCCACATAAGAACTTTTTTCATCAAAAATACTAACCATTTATATTTGCCCTGACCTCATTCATAAATAAACGAATGAACCAGGACTGGAAGCTAAGTCTGTTCCCAGATGCAAACCAGAGATGGGTAGAGTACATGCAGTTTCTATTCACGTAAGAGTAGCAGTACTTTAAGTTTATTTTATGCAAGTAAAAATAGAAAGTAATCATCCAAGAAACTACTCAATTAAGAGTAAAAAGGACTTGGTAAAATGGCGACTCAATTAAAAGCATTTGATTTTTAATGTTTGAAATAATGCAATCAGACAGAGAGTTATATGCAAATTTCTGGCATTTCAGCATAATAAAATAAAATTTTAAGTGTATATACCCTTAATTTGAGTTGGTAAATAAGATAATTTTCCAAATGAAAGACTTTTTTAAAAATCTTAAAGTAAGATAATTAGGTAATATGCACTTGAAATAAGACAATGCAATAGTTTTTTCTTATTTTAGATGTAAATAGTCTTATTCCGTTGGCAAAGTGTCTCACTAAGAAATAACGCACTTATTTTGATAAAAAAAAATATGACTTTTTTTTGCAGTGTAATAAATAACATGATTACAAAATAACAAATTTAGGCAGAAGATACACCAAACATTAAACATATACAATTAACCCTTACAGAAGTTATGTATATATGTCAGGAAAGGATAAAGAACTTTCAGCTACAGTATCTACAGATATTAAATTACTCACGATCGGTTGAGTAACCGGAAACTTTACTCAAGTAAGAGAAGTGATACTCTCAGAAGAATATTACTCGAGTAAAAGTAAAAAGTACATTAAAGTACTACGACTCCAAAAACTTTTTTTCTAAATTTGACTCAAGCGAAGGTAAATGAGTAAATGTAATTAGATATTTCCCACCTTTGCTACAGTCCAGTATACACCAAATGAGTGTCTGAAAAGCAGAGTGGTCAAGTATCTAATCATGATTGTAACAAAAGTTAAACTGCAGCTTTGTTTTTACAGATGGCGTAGGTGTGAAAGCATGTTTAAACAGAAACTTTTCACTTAACCTTTGTCTTTTCAAAACATTACAGTCAAAAAAATAAATAGATAAAAAACCCAAAATGAGCACCAGGTCGTATGTAAACTCCTGACCAGTACCCTACCAACACAAGTAGGATTATGACTTTATTTTCTGTTACCGTACTTGTTTTATTTTTTACAAAGTAGAACACAATCTCTCACTTGTTAGATCGTCAAACAGGTGAAACTGAGCTAAACCATAAACCAGCAGTAAAAGTCCTCCCCTTCCAAATTAATGAGGCGGACTCAGGCCGCTGAAAATAATACTCCAGGACTGGGCTGATAGTAAAAATTTATGTTGTTTGGCTTACCGGTGTCCTACCTACACGTATGGACCACTGTGGAATACACTGCTGATATAGGTCTGGAAAAAAATTGTCACATGGGTAAAGGATGGTAAAAATTATTTTTACAGGAGCTGACTGCAACATCCTGGGAACAGCGTGTTATCTAACCCTGACTCTCAATGCTTGCATCAGGGACTCAGCTCTGCTCTCTGTGTGGTCCTTTCTAAGAAAATGTCCTGGAGCAACAAAATACGCACCTAACATGCCTTCTACCTCACACACATAGATAGGTGTCTGCTGTGTATAAAGGCATGTTGATTTTCATGAAGATGTCAGAATAACTCCACTTTTCACACGGCTGCTCTCTCCATCTCTTTCTCTCTCGCACACACTGGTCTTTCATGCAAGAAATAGCCACCCGGACCTCATCATCTTCACAACATGTTGCTTGATGACTTTTGGACACGTCTGCATCATTTAACCTTCCAGACTCTTTCTGTCTCACAGTTGATTTCAAATAAGATATTGAATATTTAAAATAAGGGCATGCATACACATTTATGAAGCTGTCATCGAGTTTTATATTTTTTCTGTAGATTTTTTTTTCCTCATAAAGTCGACAAGGAAATATCAGCTATCTCAGCTAATTGAAATATTATGCCCCGACCCTGCTATATGTTCTTTTTCAGCACGCCCCACTGGTTGGAATCGTGCAATCTTGAAAACGGGAAGGGAAATTTGACTTGCTTTATCTGTAATGTGCCATTTTCTGCTCGTTGCACAGATATCAAAACACATCAGTGAACATAATTATAAGTCAGTCCATGAACAGTGTTGCAGCGCAGAGCGTTGGTGCTGAAGCAGCCCAGTGGGCTACCCCTCTTTTGGAGAGAAAGTGTTCCACCTCAGCTGGTCCACCCCCTAACCTGACTCTGTCTACTGAATCTTTCATCATGAAAAGAAAAAGAGGAGAAAACTTGCTCTCTCTCGGGCTGTCTGTCTTTCTCACACGCGCACAGACACACATGCACATGAGTGAACTTGTTGAATCATTCATGGGGTAGAAATTCCATAGGTCTGGCGGTGACCTGCGGTATAGTGAGAACTGCTCTCCCTCTGTTTCTCTTGTTCTCTCTTTCCATATATATCCTGTATCATGCTCACATACACACAAACACACATGTAGACACTGCAGCATTAGAGAGAGAGAGTGATGAGTGGGCTCAAGCTGTTAAATCTTTTATAGGCAGGTGAGAGAATCTTATCTGACACGCTACGTCTGACCTCCTCCCTGTCCTCTACTTTCTCTTTCACTTTCCCTCCCAGTATACCTCCTCCTCTGCCCTTTTATCCCTTTGTGAATAGATTCTTTTATTCCTGCTCTCTCTGCACTTAAAAAAGGGAAGAAAAAAAAAACAATCACTGAATTAATGAATGGATGTCATTTCAAAATAACGCAGTGTGCGCATGTTTGTGTGCTTCAGAACCCAGACATAGTGCTGGTGCACTACCTGAACGTGCCGGCAGTGGATGACAGCGGGAAGCCATGCGGTCCGGTTCTCTGTTCCATCAACACGGACAGGAAAGAGTGGGCCAAGTGGAGCAAAGAGGAGCTCATTGGGCAACTCAAACCTATGTGTGAGTGTCCTTAACTCCTGCACAAACCCTCTCATGTTTCACTCACTCATGTGTTTTATTTTTTGTCAGGGAAAAAGTTACCTAAGAACTTCGGACACACAGAGTCAGAAAATATTTCCAACACATTAATGCAAGTTGTGCAGCTTTTTTTATTGGCAAACACTGACATAACTAATTAAGCTTTACTTATGTTTGTATAGTACCCTTAATGTTATTCGCACCCTTTGAAAGTTTTACATTTTGTCAGATTATGGCTTTAAAACCTGAAAGGATTTTACTGGTATTTCATTGGATAGACCAACACAAAGTAGAAGAAAAAAGATGTGATGCTTTCAACTGCAAATCTTTTGGCATAAATCTCTCCCAGCTTTGCACAGACTAAAGGTATCACACATTCTCCTATGCTAAATGGTTTTAAGCCCAGTCAGAGTAAATGGAGCGAGTCTATGAACATCAGTTTGCCACACAAATGCTTGGTTGGATATACTGAATGTATGGATGTTGACTTGGCTATTCTAACACATACATTTAAATGATAATCATATTAGTAGAACAACTCTATAGGGGTTTGGTTGTATATTCAGTCTTTTTTTCTGTTGTCCAATAGATTTTCTTCCAGTATTGCCAGCTGCTCAGCTTCACCCATCTTTCCATCAGTATTAACCAGCTTCCCCTTTCCTGCTGAAGCACAGCCTGTATATAATGTAGGATACATCCAGTATGAATGCCAAACTTTTGAGTTTTCCGTTTATTAAATAAACAACAGCAAAAAATCTAAACAGTTTATTTTCTTTTTTCATTTGAACTGGCTTGTGTTGGTTTATCAGATGAAAGCCCAACAAGAAAAATTACACTGAAATGTGCGTTTTTAAGTTCTCAATACTCAATGAGATTTTAAACACATTTTTGGAACATTTTTCTCTCTCTTTTTTTTTATAAAGCCAGCTGATTCTGCACATCATCCATTTCAAGGACCTTAAACAATCCATCAGTTTAAGAAGAAGTGTTTTTTTTTTTTCCAAGCAATATTTACCAAACTAGAATGCTTGGATTATTTAGTGAGTTATGGAGAAGGAATTAACTATATATAATTATACAAATTTCATACACATCTTTGTAATTAATATGCTCTCAGAGATTAAAATACCCAAACTTTATGACTCAATGAAGCTGTTAATTTAGCTCATAGAATATGAAAATCTCCATGGCAGCTTATTAAAACAGTTGCTTGGATATAATATGAAATTCAATTTTGTGATAAACAATATAGTTACTTAGTTGGGTCACATAGCCTGCTCCACACACCATACTGCTTTGCAGACTGCATTAATAGTTATTTCTGTACTTTGATTGGTATACTAATCTATTGTTTTGTAGAGCGTAGGGCAGATTGGATGGGTAGTGTAAAACTGACTTGGTTAAAATTTGTCATTTTTGTTTTATTTTAAATTGGTTTTGATAAGATATTACTAAAAAATACTTCTTTGTCCACAAAAATATACATAAAAAAATACTAATTTAATCTGAGTTCTTTTAATCCGGATTTTCCTAATCAACACTTTAATTTTCTAGTTATTTATTGAATATTTCTTAGACCATTTATTGTTTTACACAGGGTTTTCAGTCTTTTTTAGATTTTGAGACAGCTCAGCTCCTCTAGTTTACAATGGTCTTTTCATTTTGTTCCATTTGTAATTTTTCCTCAAATAAAAGGTACACACCAATGGTACACAGTGTGAAGTTGTGTTGATAATTACATCATTCAGCTGTGCATAATAGTACACCTGGCCCCATTACTTAATTAGATTAATCAATTATCTTACTGGCAGGAAATTATTAGCCAGTATTTTACTTATGATTTAAATAATTTTGAATGCGAAAACATCTCTAACCTCAAAGGTTGTTAGTTTCCTAATGCTTTTGTCAGTTTAGCCTAGTGTTTATTAAATGCATTAGATTGATGCATAATTAATAAAAGCTACATTTCCCACATATGTGTAACTCAGCTAGGTTTTTAACAGATGAAGCAAGCTGCTACCATCTGCACTGATCAGAGTCATGCTGCCACCTAGAGGCAGATAGAAACTGCAGCTATGACACTGAGAGATTTATTGGAGAAAGGCAAACATGCCTGAAATATCCAGCATTTAATATTCATGAAGCAGCGTGAAGGAATAGATCATTTCAGCCATCGTTGCGGCACACACATACACACCATTATTTAATCCTGTTCACCCTGTTGATGTGGTTTGAAAGGGTAGTTAAGATTCGCCCAAAGCTGTGTGGCTTGTTAACATGAGTACTACTTCATTTCTCACCTTCACATGTGGGAATCATTCTCAGAGCCTTCTGCTTTTTTTTTTTGGCAGCCCATGGCACTTGATCCAGTATCTCTATCCTGTTTTGTTAGGGAGGAAACGGTTTTAATGCTGCAGTTAAAACCTATAAATGCTGAAAATGCAAACTGAAGATCTATTTTTCATATTAGATCATTTACTTCCTGAAAAATTGTAAATGTTTTGCAAAACTCAACTGTTTGTCAGTTGTCTCAGAGTTCTTGCATAATCGATGCAGTATATATTCTGAACGCTGGGTGGTGCTGTTTCATCTTCTCTAATGAATCCAGCATTTCTTCTTTTAAATACAGTACAGCTTTTTTTTTTCCTGAAATATAATTGTGAAGTAGAGGGAAAATGATCCTAGTAGTTTTTTTGCGAATAAAAAAACAAAAAAATGTGGCAACTCAGCCCCCCTGAGTTGACACTTCAGTAGCACAACCATTCACTTCCATTACAGCCACAAGTTTTTTTATTTGTGTGCACAAAACTTACAAACCACACATCTAGAAACTTAAACCTTTTGCCCATTCCTCTTTGCAAAATGACCCAGACAGACTGGATGAAGAGCTTGTAAAGTTTTATCTCTGGTCCTGACCTGCTTGAAGGTCAATCTTGAGTCTTTTTCTTAACACTGTTACAGGTTTTCATCTAGATCTGCCGTGTTTAATCACAAGCAATCCTTACTTTCCTCGTTTCTCATGGTACTTTACCTCACAGTTATGCTCTGTTTAATTTTGCTTTCTCACATATAAAATGCTTAAAATATATTTGTATATATTTTGTAACATACAAAAATGTAACCATGAAAAGTAAAGAATGTACAAAAAATTAAGTAAAAGATTATATCGTTGGGCATATTTCTGATATTTTTTCTGTTTTTCTGTCTTTTCTGTTAGGTGCTGGAAGCAGCCTGCATCAGAAATGTTCCAGTGTCAAGCAGCGCATCATCTCATCCAAGCAGGAGTCAGGAACAGGAGGGGGGACAGCAGTAGGAACCAGCGTAGCGGCAGGCCAGAGAGCCGAGGAAGCAGATGGCACAGAGGTCCAGAACAGTGATGTATCTGAGGGTCAGACCGAGCCTAACCCTGGTGGGGGGAGGAGCCGGGCAGGTGGAGCAGAGAGGAGGAATGGCAGGATAACCAAACCTTCCCTACTCCCACAGAGCAGCATGGAGGTGTCTTCTTCCACCTCCACCAATCAGGTGGAGGTTCCCGACACGACCCAAAGCTCGCCACTGTCTATTGCAAGCGACATGGCTGACAGCCCGGCTCTTGCCATCGGAACCAGCTTGTCACAGAGTACCGCTGTGTTTATGTCTGAGGTCACCACTCTGACCGGGGATTCTGTTTACTCAGCCGGCCACACCCATCTGTTGGCTTCTACCCATGAGAGCGCCACCACTGGTATCCTGTTGGCTGTTGCCCCTGACAACCAAAGGTTTGCATCGTTCAGTGGAGGGTTAGGGGAGGGAGGAGAGTTGGTCCTGTCCAGTTCTTTAGACTCTGGTGTTGGAGTCAGCCTTCCTGAGACTACCATGACCTTTGACCCTGACTGCTTCCTCAACAACCCCAAGCAGGGCCAAACGTACGGAGGAGGCGGGGGGAAGACCGAGGGCTGCAACGGCGATGATGGGGGGCTCCACTGCTCCACTAACGGCTTTGTTTATAACCCGGCACTTGTCAACAACATCAAGACGGAAGCTGCGCCGCTGGAGCAGCCACTCTCATCCCAGAGCAGCTACGTTGGAGAGGGAACTGGCCTCAGCCCCAGCACCACCCTGGAGCAGATGGACTTCAGTGCCGTCATGTCGTCGGCCTGCGTCTCCAGTCTTAGCCAGCCTTCGCACCACCCTTCTCCCGGCCTCTTCCTCCAGGCCTCCCCCCAGACAGCCCAGCCATCTCAGCTGCAGGTCAATGGCACCAAGGTAGCCCAGGAATCCAGTGAAACCAGGGCCTACATGGGCCTGCCCCCAGTGGTCACCGATTCTCCTGTCACTAATGGAGAACCCCACACACACCTCCACCAGGCCAGCACAGACCAGCAGGCCCTGTGTGCTAGAAACGGGCAGGCGGCTGTGGGGTCATTTCCCCTGATGACACAGGACGTTGAGCAACCAGGCAGCAGGGCTCATCAGGAGGTGGCCACCTTAGAGAAACCAACTGAAAATGGAGAAGAGTTACTCCTCAAGGCTGGGGATCCTCACGAGGCCTATACGAGCGTCGATGCCAAGCACTACCTGCAGCCCACAGATGACACTGGAGGGGGGGACGAGGGTGGAGGGGGTGGAGGAGGAGCAGAAAATGAAATTATATGTAATGGTGTGAGCATTTCAGGCACCAGTAGCTCAGTGGGGGCCAGTCCTCAGGCTATAGCTATAGGTTCAAACATTGAGGGCGCTCTCTACAACTCCCCCCTTCCTCAGCAAGGAGGGGGGGTATCAGCAGCAACGGCTGGCGCCGGAGCAGCCATCAGTCTGGAAGGATTTGAGGCTTCATTTGGAAGCCAGTTCTCCGATCTTATCAACGATTTCATCTCAGTAGAAGGGTCAGGGGGCGGGGTGGCGGCAGCGGTCTCTGGGGTTCTGATGCCCCAAGAGGGGGCGGCAGGCGAGGAGCACGGCACAGCAGCCGGTCACCTGCAAGGGTCCGAGGTGGAGCAGGGGGCGCTGGCACTGCTCCAGGAGACGGGCAGGCTTTTCGGTGTGACGGACTACTCCCCAGAGTGGTCTTATCCAGAGGTTAGTAAACCCAACTTGTAATCATTATTTACTCATCACTGCTCCCCGCAGGAAAAGTAGTCCCTGCTCAACATGATTGATGGCAGCTTTTACTGACGTTAACTGTTGCAATCACGCTTAGCACGGTTTGAACCGACAGCTTGGATACAGTATGTGGTCATTAAGGAGGCCGAATATTTCAGACTCAGCTGATTGAGTTTTAATGAAATTTCAATTTTTCCCAGATTCCCCTGGGTGGCCTCATTAATTTACGCTTGTACCACTTCTAATAACTCAGACAGCAGCTCTGTCATTAAATTATGATCAAAGTTGAGGAAAAACCCTTCATCTTTGTGCCACTATTTTAAAAAAAACATGCGAATAACTGAAATAACTAGCAACAATTATTAAGTTAAGAATATATTTATCTGCATTTTCAATCTTTTTCTTTTCTTTTTTTTTTAATGAGGAGTTTTTAAAATAAAGAGCATTCACATTGTAAATGTACTGTACCTTGCAAAAGTATTCACACTCCTGGTGCTTTTCATAATTTTGTCTCAAACATTAAGTGTCAAAATCTGCAAGTTAGTTTTGGTTTTTATTTTTGTTTTGTTTTTTACTCTTGAGTCTTCCTCAGTATATTTAGTTGGTTTGGTTTTTACTTTTTCTCATCACATTTTCTAAATTTTTTGTTTCTCATTCAATCATTTCTCCCTCTGTCACAACTTTCTGTTAATTGGCTGAAACTAGGCACCTGTATCTCCTCAATTATTATATTTTTCTCACCTATCTTGATCCCCATTTCAGCTTGCAGTTATTTGCCAGTATTCACTAGGTCCTTGGTCAATTAGGTCATATGAACTGATTTCTGTTCCATTATTGTTTCAAATCAATAAATAGAAAAAACCCCCAAAAAAACAAAAACAAAAAGCACAGCTTGTCAACTGAAATAAAGAAAAAAATAATTAAATCCAGATATGAAACCTAGAAAAACACCTTAATCAAAAAAGAGTCTTGAGAATAAATTAGCTGTTTTATCAGATTTAATTTCTTCCATTTTTGTCATATTTTATTTTCTCTAATTGTATTTTTTTTCAAGGATTTATATCTTCAAATCCTTATTTTTTAGAGAGAGTTATATGAATTGCAATTGTTTTTTTAAGTTGCATTTTACAGATTTCATTCTCTTCCCTTCTAGGGGTGAAGTGAGGTCTGCATGGAAGTTAGTCACATTTCTACTGGCCAAAAGGGAGTGTTTGTGTTGGGCATGAAGAGAATATGTTCTATGAAATGCAATTTGAAAAGAATGCAATTCTTGAAAACTATCTAAAAGAATGTTTATATAACAACTGTTAAAAAAGAAAAAGTAATGCTTGAAAAAATAAATATTTAAAAAAATTTGCTTCCAAAAAAATTGAACAAAATTACCTATATAGGTTTATCCACTATCTTTCTTTGCCTGGTTTGCTGCTCAGATGCCTCTAACACCTCCTTAGAGCCTTAAAACATACCAAGTGTTTACCAAGAGTCAGTCTGCTCTTCGATCCAGAACAACAGACCTTGACATAAAGCTGATTGGGATGTATTTTATTCAAACTGTATTTCTCTTAGGCAGCATCATGGTGTTGAAATGCTTGTAATCTATCAAAATGTTGATCAGGTTGGATAAATAGTTGGATGCAGCTAAAGACAGGAGAAGAAGAAGAACAGTTTTGGGCAGAAGTTGGTTCATAAGCAGAACAAGGCTTCATCAGAGCATTATCATGTGTTAGAATCATCCAGTCAAAGTCTAGACTGGCCAGCTAGCAAACAGAATTGAATCGGTTGTTCAGAGACCCAGTTTTACTGAGCTGGATCTATTTGGAAAGAAGGCTAAAAGTATTAGAATCTAGAAGGCGAGCTGATGGAGATCTACCCCTGAAAATCTGCAGCTAGCAGGTCCATCAACAACAAACACAGCCACAGATTTAAATAACATTCTGTGGTTGTTTAAAAATTGGAGTTGAGCCTTTGTCACTTTCATTGATTCATTCCTTCATTTCTCTCTCTTTAATTTTGATTAAAATAATCTTGCTTCCATTGCCTCCTTCACTGTAGGTCAAAGCAACACCTTCTCCCTGATTGGGAGATTATCGTTTATTTAAAAATGTCCTGTTTTCAACCTCTGCGAATTTCGCTCCAAATACTGCGCAGGTGCTTGTTGATCCAGATTTGCTGAATTAGCCAAGAATGCACCATCTTTGTCACATTGAATCGAAATCTTTGCCTCTTTCTGTAGAGTGCTCCAGAGCCACCCTCTACACATAAATAACATGAAGATCCTTCGCTCCAGCTGCGAAATTCATATTTGGTGTGAACATGAATGACAGAATGAAGATCACTAAGAACACATAGATACTATTTCCCAAGAGTAGCTCCTTCCTCAATGCACAATAACGTTCTAATCTTAGTTTAGCTATAAATATTTTGTTATTTATATTTTCTGCCCTAAACATTGCTTTGCTGCTCGTATGCCACAGGACTGATGGCAGAGAACATCTTTTAAATCCTCAGACAAACTGTTTTCCATTATAATTACAGTCTAGATTCATAAAAGAAAATAAGCAACCTTATAAATTTTGGTCCCTGTTCTACCTGCTAAGTCATAGTCACCTTCCTATCGTTAAGCCAGCTCTACACAAGTGTATTTACCTTTAATCTGAGTAGGTAAATGTGATGATTTGCCAATGGAATGAGTATTTTTACTCTTAAAATGAGATATTTAGATACAATGCACTTGAAACTAGACAAGGCAATTGTGTTTTCTTATTTTAAATGTAAATTGTCTTATTCCATTGGCAAAATGTCTCTTTTACCTCCTTGATCCAAGAGCAAATGCACTTATTTAAGAAAAAAATTACTTATCTGGATTTTGATTTTTCCAGTGCAGAAGAAGTTGGTTTCTTCGCTGTGCCGGAGCTTTTTTCACTCTGAACCTCTCACTTTGGTGGTCTTTAAAATCAGCGAGAACCTGCACTCAGGTTCAATTATTTTAAACCTGAGGACAAGTTAATAGAGGGAGTCAATGATTTCAATTTCATCTCACCCTGTTTTATAGATGTCAGTGTGACAATTAATCGATAGATGGATCCATCTCTCTACTCTACTCCTGTGTTTTTAATATGTGTGCAATGAATTGGAATAAGGTTGTAATTTTATTAAAGTGCAAAGTCACAGTGAAAATTATTTTTATAGGTGTTGGAAGTGAGCTTCCATTGCAAATAAAGTTTTTTTTTTTAAACGAATTAATTTCAGAGATAAATCAGACCTTAAAGGGGAACACTGTTTTTTTTTTTACATTGGGCCCTTGATTTTACGTTATTACATCATGTTCTATTTACCCATATTAGTTTTGTGTCATTTGGAGCTGTTCTGAAGATATTCGGTTTTGTAATCCAAGTAACGTCTTACTTTGGGCAACGACTTGAAGGTACAAACTAAACTGTTCATAATTTATTCTTTATGGTACGCCAGCATTCATAACATGTAGGCGAATCACTGTCCCCCCAGACATCCGCGGTTATATTTTTTATATTTATATTTTTTTTAAACAAAGCGGAGTGTGCATGAAGTCATCCGCGCACCGGACTGGAGTTGTGACAGGCAGACGGGCCACAAGCGGCTATGCTCTACCCCTTATATTCATTCGCTAGCTAATCTGAATCGTTCAATTACATTTCGAGGGCGTGATCATCTTTGGTAGTAGCACTACCAAATCTTCCAGGCATGTGAGTAAAACTAGCAGCAGTTCAGCGGACAGGATGAATGAACGGTAGCCGGCACATGCGGATGACGTCATACACACTCTGCTTTGTTTTTGGTATAATAAAACCGAATATCTTCAGAATAGATCCAAATGACACAAAACTAACATGGGTGAGTAGAACATGATGTAATAACGTAAAATCAAGGGGCCAATGTAAAAAAAAAAAAACGGTGTTTCCCTTTTAGGTTTTGTGATAATCCAACAATTAAAGCTGAAGTCTGTAAGTTTTTAAAAATCATTTTTTGGCATATTGGCTAAAACTGTCCCTATGTCCAGACAGCAGTACATGTGATATGTAACCTGTGAAAAAAACTGCTTCAATTGGTCCCGCATACTGCCTGTATTTCAATCTGGAAAGAATAATTCGGGACGAGTCAAAACAACCAATCACAGCCAGAGGAGCGTCTAACCCACGTTTCAAGTGCTATTCAAAGACTGGACTCTGCATTTAAATTCCTCTCAGTTTTTCTGCAATAATAGCAACATTTCACATATGAAAGTCAACTTAAACTTAATTTATTCTAAGCCAAGCAGAGAAAACATTACAGAAACTAGCTCTGAGGCGCTTTAAAGATAACTGCGCAGTCACAGAATGAGCAAGTAGCCTTGAACATGTTCTAATCTTGAATACACTCCTACATGGGGTGTCCATTTCCTCCTTCAGTAAGCAATGTTTTACTGCACTGGAGATGAGCTGATCAGGTGTGTGGTTAAAAGTGTCTAATCCAGGTTTGCTGTGGATTCTAACCAGCTTGGTTTTGACATTTTTCCATTTTCTCTGGCCTCATCTTATTTAAACTTGAAAGGGATCAAAAAGGATGCTCTAGTTTCTTCCGATTTCACTATTTTGACATTTGCGGCAGATGAAATACAAAAGATTTAATCCATAACATAGCTTAATAGTGTGAGTAGGAGAAAAAACTGTCTATAATTCATTAAGTCAACCTCAGTATTTAAGTTTCAACAACTCTTTTTTTTTTATCATAGAGATAAAGACATTGGCTAAGTTTGAATGCAAACTAAAGAGCTGCATGGTTGGTCTTTTTTTTTTTTCTACAGGGGGGAGTGAAAGTGTTGATCACGGGTCCATGGTTGGAGTCCAGCAGTGAGTACAGCTGTCTCTTTGACCACATCAGCGTCCCTGCTGCCCTCATCCAGCCTGGGGTACTGCGCTGCTATTGCCCAGGTAAAACACTCTCATAAACAGAACTGTCAAAAAGAGAATAAAATATCTAATGTGAGTGGTGTGTTTTTAAAGTGCTTAAAAAAAAAAAAAAAAAAAAAAAAAACAGTAGAAGGTGAAAGGTTAAGTTTTATTTATGGGATAAAAAGGGGCATACAGGCTAAAGTGTTTGCTGGAAACAGATGATATGGATCTGTTTAGGTAAATTTTTAAAGAAGACAGTGCCTAACTTTAGTGAATAGTGTCCTTGATTCTGTCCTTGATTAGATAAACTGTGTTAAACAGGGTATCTGCTGTCTGTCCTTCTTTCCAGCCCATGACACAGGACTGGTCATGCTGCAGGTTGCCATGGGTGGCGAGGTCATCTCTTCTTCTGTGGTGTTTGAATATAAAGCACGTGACCTCCCGGCACTGCCATCTTCTCAGCACGACTGGCTGTCCCTGGATGGTGAGAGGAAATGTTTTAATATTGCAGAGATCAAAGTGTGTGTCCTCATGTCAAAGCCTTTTACCTGAATGAGATAAGTCATCAGTTTTTTATTTGTTTGCTTTAATACATTTTTTTTCTTTCATAAAAATAAAATATAAATATACAAAAACACAGAAGTACTGTAATAAAAACTGCTTTTTAACATGTTGAGGGAGTAATATGGGTGGCAGTTCTGGTTTAAATGTTTACATTTTGCTCAATGGCAGCTGTGTAGAGAAGGATTATGAGGAGTACCTCAGAGCCTTCTTCCTGCAGCAGCCCAGATCTTGGAAAGAGAGTCGGGATCCTTTCAACTCCCCTTACTCTCCACTGCAGGGCCCTCTTATCTACCATATTGCAGCTGGAGCACCATATTGAGATGCCGTATGTCAGCATACACCAAACCACTGCTCTGCTGATGTTCTGAGACTTCTTGCAGGGAGTTGATTTAGTGACTTCAGAAAAACACTAGTTTCTAGTGGCCATGTGTACTTCAGCTATAAGAGACCTCTACCCTGAGAAATGAATTCTGTCCCCTGTCTCTGCTGTAGCTGATAGCTGATACTGGGACAGGTGTGTTTAACCTATGGAAGTTATTTGCATCCTGCAGCAAAGGTTTCATCTGCACAAAGTTTCACTTCCTAACAGGCCAGGACAATTAGTTATGCTCGTGAATACAGTCCTTATTCTGCTTATAAAAGGAATCTCAACATAATAAAAAATAAAAAAACACGTGATTGCATGCAAACTAAATGAAGCTGACTAATGCCATGTTGAATACCAATATCGATACATGTAGAACCTATCAGGTGATTTTTATTTTTTGTTTTGTTTTTTATCCATACTAGGAAATGAACCATGAGAGGTCCTGATTAGTCACGTCCTGCTGCAGCCTTTTCTCTCCCTGATCTGGAGCCAACATGATAAAACGATAGAATAGAAATAAAACAATGTAGACCATTTTTAGCAGCAATAAAATAATTTTTTTGCACCAACAATCTCTTGGATTACAGCAAAAACAACTCAATTAAATGTTTAAAAAAAGAGAGAAAAGAGAATGAATAATTTAGATACTGTAACAAAGTAACAATATAAAACTGCAGTTGCTATGGTGATGGGGAGCAGGGTGTTGTACTTTTTTATGCAGAAATTAAATAAACAAGTATGAGAAGCATACATGTGTAGGGATGCACAGCAGCTTGGTTGGTTATGTGATATTTGAGGGTCTTGCATGTGTTCAGAACATGTACTACTCTGGGAGAATAAGTATTTTTTCAGTCTTATTGTGAGTGCCTGTATGCCATCTCTTTTCAGATTGCAGCAGTTTATTTTTTTATGCATTTCATAAAATATTTCATCCATAGTCAGGCAACACTGGATTATGAAATGTCCAGGGAACATAGTAATATGAATGGATTTAGCTATGGGAAAAGATTTGTAGATATGTTGCCCCTAGGGTCAGTTCATCTTGACTCCCAACTAATATCTTGTTATAGGAAAACCACACATCTTTAAAACATCATTTTAAAATGTAAAGCACAGTTGCTGTCAGTCCCAATCTTTTAAAAGCTACTAAGACGGTTGATTCTTTATAGGATTGCTTGTTTTTTAGCTTTTTCAGTTTCCAATCAGCTCTAAACAGCTTCCTTTCCCTGCAGCATGATGTTTCCTGTTTAACATAAAAGTCCTGGGGTCCATTTCACAAAGAAGGTTTAACAAAGTCAGATTCAAATCCGCAACTCTAAATTGGTCTAACCTAAGGTCAGGAGCTCTGACTTTTTGGTTTCGCAATGGCTGCTATGAATTAGTTCAATCAACTCCAAGTAGAACCACTTAGAGTTTAGCACGTGTGCAACAAGTATGAAAAGCCATTATCAGTGGAGCACCGATTCGATGAGTCACCATCACAACAGGCAACAGGAAGTGCCTATTTCACCCCACTGGAACTTGAGATTTCAATGCAGAAATGCAAGAAGAAAAAAATAAAAAATAAAATAAAATAAAGCTAAAATAGATACAGCTATAAAGGAGAGGAAGATGGCGAAGCAGAAAATTGCAGCTTGATTTAATGGTTACTTTAATATAAATACGATTCTACATTTATTAAAAGCACTCTCCTCTCTGTTGTTCACTAAAATGTAGATCACTAAAATAAGATACTTCCTGATCAAAATCACACTCCTAGACCTAACTGTAATAATTTATTTTCTGAATTACATTTTTGTAGCAGAAACTGAATTTTAGAAAGTAAAAAAAACATTTTACATGTAAGAAATAAGTTTTATATATCTAGAAATGTTTACACATTTTAAGTGGTCGTTCTGCCATTTATAAGCTTGACTGAAAACTTATTTATGATATCTGAATTTTTTTTTTTTAAATAATAAAAAGGCTGACCAGTAATATTAGGAATATGGAGATCTGAAATTCATTTATAGACATATAGAATGTTTATTCTAGATGTAGAGAATGTAATTTTGTTTGGAATGGTAATTTAGACAAAGACAAAATGTTTTTTTCAGATATCAGGAATACATATTTAGTAAAACTAGTACATATCAAAATGGCTTGCCATAGCCTGTTGTGACTGCAATAAAATTACGGGGTTATTTCCTGAATGGTTGTGGATCAATGTATCCATTTAAGTGAAATCTTCTGGCAGCAGGTGAAAATGAAGTCTAAAAACATTTTTCCAATATACAGAACCGGTGCGTCATCTTATGGGTTCCTCCTCATGTTGAATCAGTCTTTTTTTTACACAGTAAATACTAAGTGGGTGTTTTCAGCTGCGCTTCGGATGTTATCACCCCAATAAATGGATGTTTTTAGCGCCTATCAGACCCATAGAATGGCTTCAGATTGGTCTAGTAGGCTCATTACGTTGTTATTATTGAGTGAATCCTAACACTGAAGTATTTCCTGTTCCTCATGGAATAAATGAATCTATATATGTGTAATCTGAAAATAATTTCTGTAGTTCTTCATGTACTGTAAATATAACTAAATAAAACTAAATCGATCCACATCTGGCTCATATTAAACAAACCAAAAACTAGTAATCTCATACCCTGTCAACTGAGTTGTAGAATCCTCTCCCTATGAATATTTATTTCTTTGTGAAAAATTGCTAATCATTTTTTAATAAGATCCTTGTCAAACAGACATGCAATGTTTTTTTAAAACCTAATGTTTGTAACGGACCTAGGGAATTAGTTTACTGAAGAAACCTGCTACCGACCAGCTTAGCTCTGGGAAGAAAGTTACTACTGCGACTGAAACAGAGGTTGAATAAACTCTCTTTGTGAACCGGAAAAGTCAGAGTTTCCCTGTTTTCAGGTTTAGACAATTTTGAGTTGTCGCTAAACCTGCTTTGTGAAACGGATCCCTGGAGTGTTTGCCATAATCTGCAGTTTTGCATGTGGGATAAAAAGATGAATATTGACTTGACTTTATCTGACCAGAGCAACTTTTTCCTTTCTTTGCATGTCTTAATAATGGCTTTTGGCAAGAATTTCTACAATCTTAAACAATGGTTTTATTTTTGACATGCTTCCATAAAAGGTAGACTTGAGAAACTAGCAGTTTCCTGTCATCAACAGAGCTTCTCACCTATAGCATAGATATGTGCAGCTTTGTAATGCTTCTTGCTTCTCAATTTGGCTAAATGTCATTTTAGGTGGACAACCATGTTTTGGTAGGTTCCCATTTTTGACCTATACTCTTTTGATGCTGGTGAAGATTTTCAGTCCTCCAGGTCATAGTCATTCCAAAAAAAGGTTAAAGGAGAATTCCGGTTTTTTACACTTTAAGCCCATTTTCTGTAGTGTCCAGGATGAAATCGAATGATCGACACCAAAAGTTTGACAATTGCTCCTGTCTCTGCTTTTTGGCTCATTTAGAATCCACCCCTGGCTGCTTCATAATGGCTGCCATAGTGCATGTCCGATAATGTCCTTAAAACAACCTTAAACGTTCTTTTTTTTAAATATGCTACTCACCGTGTCGTCAGCGCTGTTCAATGACGTTCCAAAAAAAGTTTCGTGAAGAAAAAACGTTCCTGTGGTGTTTTATTTAGCATTTTGTAAATCCCATTGAGTTCTGTTGGAATAGTCAATATTCCCCTGCCACCGGAACCCGAAATGGGGCCTGTTTACACAGTAGTAGTCTTTTCCCTTCACTCTGTGTACTCCGACGTCGAGAATCAAGAATCCACTTTTTGTATTCCATTTTCAGAGTTTTTTAAAGTGTTTAACAGAGACGTTAGCACCTCGACGTCGGAGTACACAGAGTGAAGCGAAAAGACTACAACTGTGTAAACAGGCCCAATTTCCGTTTCCGGTGGCAGGGGAATATTGACTATTCCAACAGAACTCAATGGGATTTACAAAATGCTAAATAAAACACTACAGGAACGTTTTTTCTTCACGAAACTTTTTTTGGAACGTCATTGAACAGCGCTGACGACACGGTGAGTAGCATATTTTAAAAAAAGAACGTGTAAGGTTGTTTTAAGGACATTATCGGACATGCACTATGGCAGCCATTATGAAGCAGCCAGGGGTGGATTCTAAATGAGCCAAAAAGCAGAGACAGGAGCAATTGTCAAACTTTTGGTGTCGATCATTCGATTTCATCCTGGACACTACAGAAAATGGGCTTAAAGTGTAAAAAACCGGAATTCTCCTTTAAAAAAGTTTTAAAACAAACCTATTTTCTAAGCCATAGCAAGGCTTTGTTGGGCTACACTATAAAGCCTGGAAGTCAAATCCAGACATTGTGAATTGAGAAAGCTTCCTGGGTGGGAAGCGAAACATCTTTAAATACACTATATTGCCAAAAGTATTTGCTCACCTGCCTTGACTCACATATGAGCTTAAGTGACATCCCGTTCCTAATCCATAGGGTTCAATATGACGTCGGTCCACCCTTTGCAGCTAGAACAGCTTCAACTCTTCTGGGAAGGCTGTCCACAAGGTTTAGGAGTGTGTTTATGGGAATTTTTGACCATTCTTCCAGAAGCGCATTTGTGAGGTCGCACACTGATGTTGGACGAGAAGGCCTGGCTCTCAGTCTCCGCTCTAATTCATCCCAAAGGTGTTCTATCGGGTTGAGGTCAGGACTCTGTGCAGGCCAGTCAAGTTCATCCACACCAGACTCTGTCATCCATGTCTTTATGGACCTTGCTTTGTGCACTGGTGCACAGTCATGTTGGAAGAGGAAGGGGCCAGCTCCAAACTGTTCCCACAAAGTTGGGAGCATGGAATTGTCCAAAATGTCTTGGTATGCTGAAGCATTCAGAGTTCCTTTCACTGGAACTAAGGGGCCAAGCCCAGCTCCTGAAAAACAACCCCACACCATAATCCCCCCTCAAACAAACTTTACACTTGGCACAATGCAGTCAGACAAGTACCGTTCTCCTGGCAACCGCCAAACCCAGACCCGTCCATCAGATTGCCAGATGGAGAAGCGCGATTCGTCACTCCAGAGAACGCGTCTCCACTGCTCTAGAGTCCAGTGGCGGCGTGCTTTACACCACCGCATCCGACGCTTTGCATTGCACTTGGTGATGTATGGCTTGGATGCAGCTGCTCGACCATGGAAACCCATTCCATGAAGCTCTCTGCGCACTGTTCTTGAGCCAATTTTGAAGGCCACATGAAGTTTGGAGGTCTGTAGTGATTGACTCTGCAGAAAGTTGGCGACCTCTTCGCACTATGCGCGTCAGCATCCGCTGACCCCGCTCCGTCAGTTTACGTGGCCTACCACTTCGTGGCTGAGTTGCTGTCGTTCCCAAACACTTCCATTTTCTTATAATACAGCTGACAGTTGACTGTGGAATATTTAGGAGCGAGGAAATTTCACGACTGGATTTGTTGCACAGGTGGCATCCTATCACAGTTCCACGCTGGAATTCACTGAGCTCCTGAGAGCGACCCATTCTTTCACAAATGTTTGTAAAAACAGTCTGCATGCCTAGGTGCTTGAATTTATACACCTGTGGCCATGGAAGTGATTGGAACACCTGATTCCAATAATTTGGATGGGTGAGCAAATACTTTTGGCAATATAGTGTATATAAAACAAAGTCCTGTGGTTTGTTTTTTAACTTTTTTTTTTTTTTTTTTTTTTTTGTAAATACTCTTTTGATCTTTGGGAAGATATTTTATGACTTACTGTCTCTTTAATGTTTTTTTTTTTTTTTTGTACAACATCATGTGTGCCCTGTCTCATGTGTTCCTTTGACCTATGCCTTCACAGAACAGCTGGATTTATGCTGATATTAAACTACACAAAGGTTGACTCTGCAGACTGATTAAGCGATTTGTAGGAAATGGGAGCATTTGTAAAGTTTCTGAAAAATAATATGCACAGAAATTTCCATTATGAAAAGATGGCATTGATTTGCTTCTTCCAGCCACATATGAACTACATTCTGCTGGTTTATTATAAAATCCAGACAGGTTATATTTTAGCTTATAGTTGTAATGTAAAAATAAACAAAGTTATTATTCATAAAAAATCACAACTTTTATATCTGAGTGTTATTTTTTGAAAGTAATTTGCTGTTTTTATATTGCTGCCTTCTTGTATAATTTGTCAGTATTTTAGTTTGAATTTTACCATAAAATGTATTTTCATTTTTCATGTTTAACATCTCTGCATTGTTCCTTGTTTGGTGACCTTGAAATATGCCTTCAAATAAAAGTTATTATTTTTCATATTATTATTCTGCAATACTGTCAGCTGTTTATGTTTTCCTATGTTAACACTCTGCCTGCATGCTCATTTATTCTAATTGAAAAGAACAATTTAGGAGGATTTAACAAGAAAGATGAACCAGGGATTTATGAAAATTATTAAAAAGGATTGAGGTCACACCGGTATCAAACATGTTATTCCATTTACCTGTATAACCTCTCCTGAGTGTTAATACCTTTCAAATGTTTTGATTTTAATAGTGCTGAAGAACAATGGCACGTTTTTTTCCCGCCTGTTATCTCTGGTGGCCCTTAATGCAGATGTGTTTCCGCCTGGCTCTGGGGTTAGCCTCTGAGTGTAAATATATCTCCCAATGCAGCTGCAGCTTGGAAACACATGGCTCCCACCAGGCAATGCATGTCCTGTCTGCGTTTTCGCCCCCGTCTCCGCGTTGCGCAGTGCGGCAGAGCTGCTTTCCAGTCACAGCATGCTGCCTCCTGGCTCAAATTAAGGACAAGGACATGACTTTTTCACCACAGCTGATACATTCACAGGGTCTGCTTTTGTCTCTAAGCGAGGACAGCGAGAGGCGACCTGTTTCTGTAAAATGTTTCCGTTTTGGTCTCAAACATAAATGGAAAAAATGAGAAAAGAAAGAAAGAAAAAAAACAGGTTTCAGCTATTAAACATGTATCTGCATACAGCCCAGCCGACAGGCTTCATTCCAGCCTATGTGTGCGGTCTGGTGATGACGAGCGAGCCTCCCGCAGCTCCAGGAGTGGCGGGCGGATTTGAAGCGCTGCTCCCGCTCACACACACAACGTGGAGAAGCTCTCTCTCCTTCCCTCCCTTTTTTTTATTTGTGTTTTTTTTTTTTTTTACGGCTGGAGAAGCGATGCTGTGAGTCGTACACCCCAGACTGATGAAGCTTTAGCAGAAGAAGACTGATTGTAACTTCTCGTCGCGCTGTTTTACTGCCCTTCAGGTGTGTCTTGTTTACAGCTGCTACGTTATTAGGGTTGCGTTTATTTATTTGCCGCTGGTGATTTCGTTGCTATGGAGTCTTACCTTTTGTTTTATTTCATGCATATTTATGGCATGGCTAGTAAACAAAGGAATGATTGGACTGAAATATGCCGTGGTGCTTGTATGTTCTTTTTTTGGTTGAGCTGTCCCCTCCTTATGGTGCTGAACAGTTTCAGCACCATAAGGAGGGGACAGCTCCACTTATCCCACAATAACAACAGAGGAAACGGGTTTGACAGGGAAAACTGAAAACATTACATTATATAAGCTACTGTTAGATATTTCTTTGTTATGTTATAAATTTTTTCTAATACCAAACTGCTGTAATGTGTTTTTCTGTTTGTTTTTTGAGCAACTGGTTCTATTTTTAACTTTCAGTTGATTTTATTGATTAATGTTGAAGTTTAACAAGATAGTGCATTGTAAATAACATTAAGTCTGTACGAAAAGTAATAGAGAGCCAACATTGCTTCTATTCAATAGATTGGCTTTACAGTATGATGCCGCCACCACTATGTCTCACTATTATGTTGTGTTCAATGTGATGTTTGTTGTTTTCCGACAAGATTTGCATAGGGGCTAGGTGATTACATGATATAATTGCTTAAATGTTTTTGGGGTTTTTGGTGACAATTTAATTTTTGGAAAATCTGAATTTTGTCCTTCCATAGCTTAGCGCAGAAGTGTCAAAGTGGTTCCAGAAAGGGCTGTGTGGCTGCAGGTTTTCTTTCAAACCAAGCAATAGCACACCAGACAGTCATCTCATCAAGTGAGTCCAATCTGAACATGATGACTTGATGAGATGATGTCTGGTGTGCTATTGCTTGGTTGGAAAGAAAACCTGCAGCCACACGGCCCTTTCTGGAACCACTTTGACACCTTGGCTTAGCGTGTCATCAGTTCATAATGGCGAGTGGTGACCTAGTGGTTAGGGCATAGAGCTTGGAATCCTGAGGTTCTGAGTTTGAGCCCCACTCCTACAGACTACCATTCTGGGTCCCTGTGCAAAAAGACCCTTAACCCCACACTGCTTCCCAGGCGCCGCACAAAATGGCAGCCCACTGCTCCCCAAGGGGATGGGTCAAATGCAGAGAGTTTATTTCGTTGCTGTGTACTTGCAACAGTATACTGACAATAAAATGGGGGGGGGGGGGGGGGGTGTTGAAATAGAAACTAGTTTTTGAAAAGAATATAAGTAATTCTTTAATTCTTATTAAGAAACTTAGGTGAGCCCCAAAAAAGAATTAATTGGATGTTGTAGGAAAAAGCAGAAATCAGATTTTAAGCAATATCCCCCAGCCCAAATTTGCATGTAAGCTAAAACACTTATTTTTAATTTCTTTATTCAGGAGTATTTTCATCCCGCTGTTTTTTGTGTCCTGCATGTCATGCAGTAAACTTCAAATTAAACCAAATTTTCATTCTATTGTGGCTCCCTTTTCACCACCCTGCCACAAAGGCCTGTTTTTGTGGTGTGCATAACTAACAGTCAAATGGAAAGTGCCACATTAGCTGTGTTAAAAATTGCTCTCCTTGATGAACATGTCATAGTAGTTTAGCAGCTGTGTTGAAGGATTTCCATTGATCGGTCTTCAGTCCTATGTACATAGCTCGAGGTATTGTTTTAAAACCTAGCCAACTTTTAAACTTCCCCACAACTTTCTTTCCAGACCCATCTTTTGTGTTCCTTGGACTTTATGTCGGCCTTTGTTTTCACTACCCTTTTCTAAAAAGCCTCTGGTCTTGACAAAAGTACATTCACATTGATATCAGGTTTCTCAAGAGTGTAGAATTGAACATATTAGTATAGCATAAACAGAAAACTGAGTAGGAGAGCAGCAGGTGGGATGACATGAGGGTCACTGCAGCACATCTGCAGCAGCACTGAAAAAAAAACAGAATCAAGCCCCTCATCTTAAGAGAAACTTACTGAAACATATACAGTATGCACTGTTTACAGCAAACAGATCCAAACCTTTCTTCTGCATTTCCACAGACACCCAGTTCAGGATGTCCATCTTGGAGCGTCTGGAGCAAATGGAGCAAAGGATGGCTGAAATAGCCAATCAGAACCCCAGCTCAGAAGCCATGGCAACCAAGGGTGGAGGATTGGAGGGGGGAGGAGCCAATGATCAGCGGTCTCAAGTAAGACTATTGTAGAGGATTGCATTCTGCATGACGTCTTAGATGAAAGAGACAAAAATATGAAGATAATGAAATAAATCAAGGCTTGACTTTAAAAAGACAATGTTTAAGGCACTGACAGACATTCCTATACCATCCCATAAAGTATCAAGTAACGATAAACTACTGAATCATCTTTCTGTCATCTTTCACTGCAAATAGCAATCAAAAAACTACTTAAGAAAGAAGAGAAGGTCAGTGGTAACTAGAGAATAAACAACCAGTACGCTCAGTACGCTCTGATCATCAGATCAAATTTAAAAATGTGGTCTTGGTCCATCTACTCTGACTGCATAAAAAAAAAAACCTTTCCAATGTGTTTATATCCTATAAATGCATAAAGCAAAACTATGAGTCTTTATTTTGAAATCACTTAAAATTTGATATTGACTCAGCATTTATGAGATGATCCATGAATTCAAAATTAATCTTGGTAAGCTATAATGTCCCGTTGAGTTCTAAACTCCTGCATTTATCAGGAAACTCAAAATACTTTCTTTTAATGTGTTATAGCACTCCGAAAACCAACGTCGGCCTCAGAGAACGCCAGGAAGAGGCTGCTTATTGCATCATAGGAAGTCGCTAGACATTAAAAAAACAGAATTTTTAATATTTTTCCATTTGTTTTTCCTTTTTCTTTTCCATCCCTCAGAGCTCCCCTGATCAGAGCACATTTGAGGGCCGTGTGGTGGTGGTGTGTGAGAAGATGATGTCTCAGCCCTGCTGGACTTCTTCTAACCAGCTTGTCCACAGTAAGAACTCCAGAGGAATGACGCTGCTGCATCTGGCCGCAGCCCAGGGTTATGCAGGACTCATCCAGACACTCATTCGCTGGCGGTGAGTAACACTTAGATATGACACTCCGCCGTGAAGATTAAGTTAATTTTACAGCTGTCGCCTCGCTCTGCAGGACAAAGCATGCTGACAGCATTGACCTTGAGCTGGAAGTGGATCCCCTTAATGTCGACCACTTCTCCTGCACGCCGCTCGTGAGTAATCGATACTTTCACATTTTAAATTTCCCCTATTTTCTTTCTATGTGTGTTTGACCTTTATTTCATTCCATCTCCTTCAGATGTGGGCATGTGCTCTGGGACATACGGAGGCAGCACTGGTTCTTTACCAGTGGGACCCAAGAGCTTTAGCCATTCCTGACTCTCTTGGCCGCCTGCCGCTGAACATTGCCCGATCCCGCGGTCACACTCGATTGGCTGAGCTTTTGGAGCAGCTGCAGCAGAGTCCACAAACTAAGGGGCAGTCTGCGGATAGTTGGATCGACAAGTGGAAAGGAGGGTCACAGAACGGTGGGATCAGTAACAGCTCCAGCACTAACCCAAGCCCAGGTCCATTCTTTCAAATTTTAGTCATCATAAAGTAGCTCTTGGTTGTCCTTTTTTTCATGTGTAAGATTTAAATTATGAAGGATGCTTACCAGAAGAATATTAATGTGGATTTTTGTTTTGTTTTAAGGATATCTTTAAAAACAGTCAATTCCACATATCACTAAAACAGGTAGTTGTGCCAAGGTCCAAATATCAATCAACTTATTGAGAGTTCACTAAGCTTCATTGTCTATCTTCTGTAATTAAAATCTATATCACAGAAGTCCTTACCAAGAGTCATAACTCTACACCTTACATGCTTTGAAATTGAACACAGACGAGGACTCAATATCAGACAAACACTGAAACATAAGTTATATAAAGCTTTAAACATGGTGCCAGCTGACTGGTTTTCGTTACTTTTGAAAGTCTCTTTTAAAGCTTAATTATCTGCTTGAGTAACAAAAATAAAAATGACCAAAAAAACATTTTTACTCTTTCTGTAAATAATAATTTAGATTGATTGTTGAAGGGTTATTAAATCAAAAAATATAGAAAACTAAAAGCTATAAATTCTCAACATCATAGAAAACATATAAAAGATAAGACCTTTGTAAGATAAATACAGTGTCCAACAAAAGCAAATATGGACCTTGAATCTTTTTGCTTTGAAAGTGTACCATTATTTTGTCCAGCTAAGCACACATAGTACATGCAAAAGGAATAAAAATACGTACACATTACAGAAATAAATAGAATCAAAGACATAGTTAAGACATTTAAACAGCTGCGAATTTTATTAAGATTCTCTTACAATGTTTTTCTAAGGTTTTGATGACAGAAATGTAAAACATATGGCGTAACCATGTTGATCACTATAATGCATACATTTGCTTTGATCTAAACCCTTCCACTATAGCGCTGGCTTAATATGTCAAACAGGTTTTCTTGTAGGATTTTTCTGTATTGAGCTCCGTCCATTTCTCAATCATCCTACCCCCTTCATGGGCCCTTCTAAAGATAGGAACCCCACAGCATGCTCAACCTGTATTCTGGTTAAACTGGGGTGGTTTCCCCTTCAGCAGAATTTTGCAGCACATAAAAGAACCTAGAGCAATGTTTGCCTTGTTTGACAGGGCCTTTTCTTTCATGTTTGCATGTTTGCTATAGCTGGGAACAAGCTGCAAACAGCACATCCTTCCCATGATCCTGTTTGTTCACTAATGTTCTTTACCAAACCTCTGAGGACTTTACAGAACAGCTGTGTTTATACTGGGGTCGGATAACACACAGGTAGATGCGGTGTCTCTTTACTAATTAACCGACCTCTGGAGGAAGTTGGCTGAGCCTATATGGAGTTAATTTTGTTCCATTAGAGTTGCAAGTAAAAAACACATTCTTTAAATTGAAGTTTGAAAAAAAATTGCAATCCAGTAGCACAACTTAGAAAAATGTCTCAATAAAAAAAAAGACTTTAGAGTAGGTTTGCTGTTTTTCTCTCAGATTTCTTTATTCTTTACTCTGTTTTCAAATTTCATTTATATATATATATATATATATATATATATATATATATATATATATATATATATATATATATAGATATATATATATATATATATATATATATATATATATATATATATATATATATATATATATATATATATATATATATATTTTTTTTTTTTTATTGTTTGTTTTTTTTCCAGGTAAAGGGGAAGAGGGGAACAACACACAAATAAGAACAGAACTATGTACATATAAGGAGTTTTTCACATACATGTTCATACAATAGGATACATTTTACATTATAAAGTCATAATAATAAAGTTGTGCTGCTGGCCACTTGGCTGGAGCAAAGAAATACCATTTCAACATCGCTCTAAGAAGAGTTCTTTTTTTGGTTATCATAGGCTTTTATTTGTGTCATCTTATATATTTCCACCACAATGTCTTTCCACGTACCAAGTGTTGGGCTTTCTGGTTTCCTCCTGATTGCTTTTTTGCTGGCCACTAAAATGATGTTCATTAAGTATTTGTCCACTTTCAGCCAGTCTTGAGGAACACATCCCAGATAAAAAAGTTTTAAAGTCCAGTGGCAAATCCTCTCTGAAAATGTCTTGTAATAAGTTATGTATTTCTGACCAAAAACCTTGAATTTTTGGGCAATCCGAAAAGACATGGTGGCGATTTGCACTTTTTTGGCCACATTGTCTCTAGCAGACAGGGGTGGTGTCACTGAATTTAGATTTTTGGGATGGGGTAATAAAATATCTAATAAAGTTCTTCCAGTTAAATTCCCACCAGGTCATTGAACTGGAGCATTTCTATTGATATTGCTATATTCTTTTGCACTCTTCAGCTGATATTTTACTCCCTGTTTCCCTTTCCCATTTTGCTTTAATACCATTTTTTTATTGCAGATTTATATTGATTTTTTTATTTTTTTTTTATTGTTGTTTTTCAAATTGAGTTTTCAAGAATTGCATTCTTTTTAAATTGTGTTTCAGAGGTCACATTCTTATCTTATCAGGATTCTGGAGACATGTTTCTGATGGTCTGCATAAACACTAGAAGCTACAATGTATTGGTAATATGTGCATCAAGAGCGAAGTGAAGAGAAATTGATCTGTGAAACGCAATTTGAAAAGAATGCAATATGTAAAACTCAATCCGATTAAAACAAATTCTCAGTTATGATTAAAACGAATTTTGAAAATAGAAAATCTGTGGAAACATTTAAAGAAAAGAAAATTAGTGATAAAAAAAATTGAATTTGGGTTTATTTATATAAGAGCCAATTACAACACATGTAATCTCATGCTTGCAGCAACAGTGGAGAGGTAAAACTCCCTTTTAACAGGAAGAAACCTCCAGCGGAACCAGGCTCAGTGTGAGCGGCCATCTGGTGAGGCCGACTGGGGTTCAAGGAGACAGAAGCAGACATGCAAAAAGAAGCAAATTATTTGAATATATATTTTAAAAAATCTGAAGAAAAAAAACATTAGAAAAACTAAATCAGAGAAAATAAAAAAGTTACTCTCAAAAATGTTTTTTCTTTATATTAAAATATTTTCAAACTTTCATTTCTGTGTGACATTTTTTTTTTTTTTTTTTTTTTTTTAATATTTTTTTCCAAATTTTTATTTAAAAAATGTGCTCTTTGCTTTTAGCAATAATGGTAAAAATTTTGCTCCTTACACTTATTATTATTTACACTTAGTAATTTTCAAGATTGATTTTGAAAAGTAATGAAAACTGTGGATTTCATTCCTTATGTTAGTCTCTATTGTATTGTGTGAAATCCCAGTAAAACCCAATGAAACATGTCACTACAGCAGGAAAAATATTAAACTTTCCTTTTTCGAGACATTAATTTCTAAAACAGGGACTATGGTTTGTTAAGGAATAAGAGCTTCGTACTTCATGATATTTTTTTTTTTTTTAATACTTGAATATTTTCTAATAGGAAGTTAAAAGATTAATCCTCATTGTTAACTTATTTTATCTCTGCAGAGGTGAGAAGGAAAAGAACAGAGAGCCAACCATTAAACCAGAACCAGAGCTGGAGCCAAACTGGTCAAAGATCCCAACAGGGAGCCAATGTGGAACAGGGAGGCCCGCCCCCAGCCAAGCGACCCAAATCAAACCCTGCGAGCCAGCGGCAGCTCGCTAACTCAACCCCTGGCACCAACACCATCAGCCCCCCCCTCGAACCCTCCGCAAAGCCAAATCCTCTCCAATCCATTCTACCCAACTCACAAAAAAATGACCTCAGCTATCAGAGGGCACCTCTTTCCAGCTCCACCCCTGACCGGCCTCCATTCCCCGGTGCTCCGTTCTCTCACCTGCAGGCCAGGATAAGGGGGTCTGAGAGGGGCAACATGTGGAGCCTGAGGCGCTCGTTTGGGCAAAACAGTCTGGTCAGGAGAATTCAAGGAAAAGAACGGCTAGCAATTCATCTGAGACAGAGGGTGCTGTCTGACAGGGGGGAGGAGACTGAGCTGCTGACCTATCAGGATAACACAGATGACTTGCAGGTATAGTTAGCAGTTTGAGTTTTGACATAAAGAAAATATTTTAAAATGCAAAGTGATCATTTATTTCAAAAAATAAAAAAGAAGGGTTTATTCTAAATGTTGCCACCGTCTTCAAGAACAAATACCAAGGGCTCTTCACGTGTTATAGGTGGACATTACGATGCTTGCTGATCACATCATGGATGCTTCAGCTGGAAGGCATAAGCAGACTACAGCCACTGAAGCAGGTTCTGCAAAGGCTGCGATCAGCAGTGATGTCAAGTCATTGTCTGGTTACCTTGAAGAAGTGGAAAGGTGAGTTTGAATCTCCTAAATGTCCCTCCTTTTTCAAAATACTTAAGGTACCATAGACACTTTAGGAAACATTTAGTTTGGTACTTTGTATTTTTCTATACAGGTTTCTGAAATCTAAGCCCCAGGCTACAAGCCCCAAACCAAATTCACTCTCAGGGCTGGAGGATCAGACGACTCCTCATGCAAACCAAGCGCCCTCGTCTCCCTTTGACTGGAGCTCCTTCCTCTGTGCAGCTATGAAAGAGGAAAAGTTGAAAACAGATTCCTCTTGTCTAGCTATGACTGAGGCAGAGCAGCACGAACTGTACGAAACCATCAGGCATGCTCTGCACTCCCTCAGAAAACACAAGGCAAGTGCGCCCTCCATTCTCACACAGATGGTATAATACGCTTATCTTTTTCTGTGATGCTCTGTTGAACACTTGTCAAGCTGCTGAAAACAGTAATTACGTCACATATGCAATGTTAGGTGAAATTATTTCTGACATTCCTCTCAGGGTCCCCTTCAGGAACAACACAAAGAGATAGCAGCAGTGATTCAACGCTGCTACAAGAGATACAAGCAGGTAAGATCAGCCGGCTGGAACAGCTCACTCCTGTTTTAATAGAGACGTGCTTTTTATTACAGTGATTGACCGTATTCCACAAAACAGTTTAAATATAATTTCTAGGTCTGTGGGCATTTCAAAGCAAAACTACTGTTTAACTTTCGACCCAACAATTAGCCTTTTTTTTATATATTATATGGTTTTTCAGGTCAGTATGAAGCACTCGGGGGAATATAACTGCCCTGTTCAAAAACTCCCATAATGTAAATTCAGAGGATCAGATCCAGTTATAAATGAGTCATGTGACCCAGAGCGCCGCTTTTACGGCAATGTGATCTCCCCTTAAACACCAGAGATAACTTAGCTAAACGTTAAAACGACTCAGATCTGACCCTAACCTGATCAGACATATTTTTGGTTCTCTGATGTAGGATTTAATCTAGAGAGTCAAATGTGGCCTTGAATTTACAGCCAAGTCCATGACTTGGCTATCTCTGCGTCCAAACACTGTCTGTTATCAGATTCATGCAGAGGGAGACTGTTTCATTTGCAGCTGTGCAGCGTCACTGTTGATTTCAGGGCCACTGAACCTGGAAGCCACAGGTCTAGCGCCCCTAGTCGCTAAAATTTATGCAATGTTTCTGGTTCTCACTCACCTTCCTGATATTCTTCAACACTACACACACGGGAAGACTCGGTTTTCTGTTTCATCTCAGTGTCTCTTTCCCAAAGCAAACAGAACTGATTAGGGGACATTTTCACATTTGGCTCCAGATTCTTTTTTTGATTTACACTATGGTTAATTAGATATTTTGGGTTGTTTTTTTTAACAAATCCTACTCATAAATTCTATGTATATATGTTATCCATCTACTATAACTAGATGTAGATGATATATATATATATATCTTTTTTTGTAATTCTTCTGCAAGTTTTAGTCCAATGTACCTCAAAATCCTTTTATAAGCACTTAATTATATGCAACTTAATTATATATTTCATTAATATTTATATATAACGTTTTGCATGTGTTACATTAGTAATTTTTAACAAAATTTCCTAAAATAACGACTCATTCATTCCTGAGTTTTTTTTTGTTTTCCAGCACAGACTTCATCAGTTTCCATCAAGAAATTGTGTGATAAGCAGACATAAAGCAACAAAAAAAATCTGTAGTGGGATAAAGTTGGTATAGATTCAGAATGCCCTCATGCATAAAAGTTAGACAACTTTGCCAGACATTTGTTTAGCCCCCTTTTACTCTGATCCCCTTAAAAACAACTACAACAGCCTAGTGAGAGGACCAAGTCACACATGCGTGACCTCTGGAAGATTTGGTTTAAATTGGATTCAAAGGGAGATAAAAATCAAAACGTATTTCACTTCCATTTTTTCATTTTTTGCAGAACTTTCTAGTTTTCTGACAAAATCCAATATAATTACACTAAGTTTGCGTCAAAAGTTCAAAACACTTGGAAGGGGATGTAGAAATAAAATGATTCCCTTACTCATCAGGCTTCACGTTGCTCCTGTCCTTCCTTGCAGTATGCACTTTATAAGAGGATGACTTTAGCAGCCATCCTGATCCAGAGTCGTTTCCGGAGTTTCCACGAACAGAGGAAGTTCCAGCAGAGCCGTAGAGCCGCAGTCCTCATCCAGCAATACTACCGCTCCTACAAGCACTCCCTCAGGTGCTCTACAGGATCACGCAACTATGCTGTCCCTTGGATTACATTTAAGAAACGTCACTAAAAGATACTCTGGTCTCTTTGCTTACAGCAGCCTCCTCACTAAAAAACAGAACCAGGCTGCTCGTAAGATCCTGAGGTTCCTGCTCCGCTGCCGTCACAGGTGAGCGCGCTCAAACTCATTAATGCACACACTCTAGGGCACCATATCACACACCCATACCACCGACTAACACATGTACACAGACTTAGAGCGGTGCTAATAGTTGCTGTTGTTTTGCTGCTCCTGTGAAGCCCCTTGATGGACCACAGGCCTCTGAAACAGGTGAGTCCCCACTTGCTCCCTCTCTTTCGGAGGCTGATGCCTGTTTGCATGACAGCGGAAGGAGAGGGAGAGGAGTTCCTAGATCATAATCCATCCCTCCTGCTCTCCTCTTATCCCCCTATACTGTATCTCCCTCTCTCTTTCTGTCTCCCTCTAAGGACTGTCGAATGATGACAACAAATGTGCATGACTGACAGATAGAGAAGCAGGTCTTGCATATGATCTTCTTGGGGGCATGTTCTGATTATCACCAAGGGACTTTGGGGGGGTGGGGGTTGCTTGGCATGCAGATTTTTGTGTGCCTTGATGGATGATGCTGATAGAGGATTGAGGGGCATATGTGTGCGTGAAAGGGATGTGAATAAATGAAGGTTTTGTCAAATAACTGCTCTTTTCTCTTCGACATTTGGGGGATAAAATAAAGAGAAATAATTTTAAAAAAATTACAACTTGCAGATAATGTGACTTGCAACACTGTTCTTCCTACTTTGTACTTTTTCGCATTCGTTAGATTACAACAACATACATATATATATTATTTTTATTTATGTGACAAACAACTTGTAGCAGATAATTGCAGCAAAATAGTTTTATTGATTCAGGAGAGCTAAACACAAATTTACACCACACTTTTTTTGTTTTATTTATTTCTAATAGATATGATGCAGTACTTTGTGCTGCTCCATGACATTAAATCCCGATAAAGTTTGTGGTTGTAATGTGACAAAATACGACATTAAAAGTTTTACAGCGTACTTTATATACACAGGCCTTCTTGTAAACTTTGTCCCTGACTGTTTCTAATGTTTGTTTGATTTTCCTCAGGGCCAGAGAGCAGAGAAAGGCCAGGGGTCCTGAAAATGCGTCACCAGGCCCCGCGCACAGCCCCCTCAGCCTGTGAGCAATCAACTCCCCCAATACATCTCTCCCTCCCTACCCTCCCTCCCTTTTTCCATTTCCCAGCCTCTCCTCTTTGCTCTTAACCCCCCCGGCCTCATTTCTCAAGAGGAAAAAAAAAAAGAAAGAAAACCAACTAAAAAAAACTCTTCCCAGACAGACTGAGGACAGGATAGGTGTCCATCATGGCAGCTCAGACAGACAGACTGCTGGGCAGAGCCCCAGAACCAGGCTCTGCTCACAGCACTGATCCTCCTCCAGTTTAACTGGGAGGCCATCACATTAACCTCATTGGCATTTTTTGCACTCCTCATGGGTATGTTTCTTTGCAAGAGCAAGTTGTCAAGCGGGATGAGCAGAAAAAAGGGATAAAAAGAGGGAATTGCGTGAGGACGACGTCCTGCTGTTTAAGGCAGCAGCTGGATGTGCTGAAGAGGCTCAGGCTGGGAACAACTGGATCAAGAAAGAGGCGACTTTCAACATGCAAAAAAACACACAAAACCCGCTGTTTTTTTTTCTTGTTGTTTTTTTGTATCAAAACAGAGATCTGTGAAAGAAGAAGAAACCATAAACCAAAAAAACTCACTTCTATGTTGCATTTGCATGCAAGGTTTTTTCCCCTCCTCAGCTTATTCCTCCTCTATATCATCCTACAGAGCTACAGTGGCAAATCATTCTGCTGATTCAGTATCTCACAGTATCACCCAACCGCTCTGACTCACCGGCTTACAAAGCTATTAGTCACCTAATCCAGAAAAGAAAAAAAAGGGGGAGGAACTGCACTTGAATGTATGAGGAGCATTGTTAGATAAAAGGGAAGCGGCCTGAAAAACGATGTCTTAATTTGCTACATGGACTTTGTATGGAGTCGTTCTCAGTGGCAGCACTTTTGCTCGCCCGACGTGGTGTGTCCGTGTTCGTTCAATTCAATGCATGTGTTTGAGCTATGAGCTCCTGCATGCTTGCCAAAACCGCTTTAGTGTTGTTTCTTTTTTGTATTTCTATGTGTAATTGTGTCTCATGTCTTCATCGACTTATCCTTGCCCTGTGTAATGTGAACCGTGTAAGGACAAAATGACTTCTTTTTGGTGCTTTATTTATTATTTATTTATTTAAGGGTCTAATTCTTTGCTGAACTGGCTCTAGAGTGGTTTAGTTCCAGATTGGTCCCTCAATCCAAACCCCTTCCCACCCGGTGTGATAAAATACGACATGTTCCAGTGGTTAAACGTCTCTGTTAGTTTGTTCTGCGTGAACCTCCAAATCATGACTATGGTTTCGAGGACAGAGTCACATAACATTGCCTTGACTTCTTCTTGACTCCGAGAGGTCTCTATGCTTGCTCTGTAAAGGACACGGGTCCTATACTTGCCACTATACAGGGCACCGCTCCCTGTATTGGCCCTATACGGGCGGTCAAATCCATATTTTGGACTATTGCATATTTCTGTACATAAACTGACGAGGTAAGGGGATACAAGGACCCTGAAACTTTTTCATAAGAAGACTGTATTTAAGATTATAAATTATTTTACTTCCCGTAACGAGAACTTTAGACAGAGATCTGGGTACACAGGACGGCATATTGCTTGTAAATAATGTAGATAATACAAACGGAAAAATGCGCATGAGATTTAAGACAAAAGAAACAGCTAAAAGAACATGTTAGTGGCTATGGACTGTGAGAGGATTTTAACTGCTTCACTTTAAGAGTATTCAGTATAAGTGTTATTTAAAAAGGACATTTTCTTAAAAGCATGCAAAAGAAAAATCTAACATTAGAACTATAAGTGGGAAAACAAAGTAAGCTGAAATCATGATCTTTCAGACAAAAAAAAAATAACAAAATGAAACAAAAAACATTTACACGTTGTGCTTTTGTTTCTTGGCTAGCAAAAATTAAACCCGTTTTGCCAGTAGTGCCAATCATTATGAATGCTACTTTTGCCTAACAACACAGTATGTTATGCTGGGGAAACCAGTACCCAGAAGTCTTCAGTAAGATCCACAGAGGCAGCACATGTTGACAGTAAACAGTAGTAACGTAGCTCTAGCTCAGATGTAGAACTACGACTCCTAGAGTTCTGTCTAAAAACGTATGCATAAAAGGATGATGGAGACGATGCAAGTATAAATGATGATGCTGATGGTGCCGATGACTATGAGGTTTTAAATGTGAATGCTGTGACTGGTGATTCATAAAGGGAAGAGGGTGCTGCACTGGATGTGAAATGTCTGCACACACAGATTAGAAATCATATTTCTCCTCTGTTATTGTGAAATTGAATTGGCTTTAATGAAATAATTTTATTGTGAATCTGTTTATTTGGTTCATTGCTTCATAATTTAATTCAACCCTATATCCTAAAGCGCTCTGGGACCTTTTGTCTGAGAAATATGCATCATGACCGAATTTCACTTATTTATTTTGCTTATACAAGCTGCATATATTGGTTGAAATTAGATTAATAAAAAAAACACATATAATGTGGTTGCATAAGTGTGCACAACTCTAAATTAAAACTTTTGGATTTTATTGCAGCGGGTTTTATGTTGTGGGAGGAGAAAGTCAGCAGGATACATTTTCACTTGGCAATATTTTCTTTCTCTTTAAAAAAAAAAAAAAAAAACAATCCTCATGTTCACAAACTTCTGCAGATCGTTGCGAAACTTTTTCTGATTTCGTTTTAGGCCTTGGTTTGTAATAGTGGTGAAAAAAATCTTAAATTAATCCTGATATTTCTTGCAGAAGGTTTAGAGGTCACAATTCTCCTTATTTGATTATAACCTAAAACAGGTCCAAATCACCATCCTGCCTCTGTCGTGCTTTGTAGTGGTGTTCTATCGGTGGTATGCTGTTTTATTTAACACTAAACACCATTGGAATCATGGCACAAAAACCATGGTACAGTTAATATCTTTTAAAGGAGAGAAAATTGGAGAATGTCAGAAAGAGGATGTACGCTCTTGTTCGACCATTTTATTTTAGCTTTTCTAGGTGGAAATGTATTAAATTATCCATTTCTGTCTTGTTTCTCACATATCAAAAAAACTATTTAAACGGGGAGGTGTGTAGACTTTTATATCCACTGAACATCCCTCACTATGTGGTTGTGCTCCAGCAACATACTTGCTTTTATTAAGACCATCAATCACACCTACAGCAGGTCCAGCCCAGCCTCCAGTCAAAGCTTTCCATCTTCAAACAGAATGTCTCCGATCTCATGCTATGTTTTTTTTTTTTTTTTTTTTTTCTCCTCATAGTCACTGCCATAATTGTATGACGTACTTTAACTGTGTGGTAACTGTTTGGAAAGTGCCTGCTCAACAACAGAAAACTAATATCAGGAAGTATTGTATATTCTCCAAAAATGTTCCCAGTTATCTCTTTATTTTCCTAAATTGTGTGTTAAAATTGAGCTTGACCATATCTGTTAAAATCCCTAATTTGTCTGGTATGAATGAGTGCTCATGGCCTAATTGATAAAGTGTTGGTTTGTCGGGCTGACAATATCGCCTCCACCCACCCCCCCACGTTTATGTGTACTTATTAGAGGAGGAAAAAAACTCCCGTCTATGAAAGGCACTATCATGAATCCATTCACAGCATCTCCAATTGGAGCCCTTTGTGTTTTCTTAATATCACTCTTCTTCTTTTTTTTTCTCCCAGATTTTTTTTTTTTCTGCAACGTTTATACAAAAACAGAGCTCTGAAGTCTTTATCTGGTTAAACATGTTTCACCAACATCCTGTTTTTACCATCACAGTCTCTCCTTGCGATGTGCTCGCACATAGCGTGGAACGCAAAAGTACACAGCCCGGAAATAAGGCCACACTCTTTCTCTCGTGTGCTAATGTCTTTGGGAGGCATGAAATCTCTCCCTAAGATTATACTCAGGGTTGAAGGACAGGGAGATGGTACGTGGATTGCATTAACTGCTGGCACATGGGTGCCCCACATGTGGAGGCTGTGTACATTTGGATGTACGCATGTGCGAGATCATTGTTTGGAAAACATCAGCTGTCCATTTATTAATGTAGCACCTGCAAATTTAAATCTGTTGATATCTGACTTGCATGGTCTTACACATATATACTTAAAAAATCATCATTCCAGTTGTGTTCTGTAAAAGGTTTCCAACATAAAAAAATGCATTCTTTTTTAATCGAGTGGCTTAAATGACTTTGCAATCAATAAGAATTTTCATTGATGAAGATTTTCAATGACGTGTAACAATGTTAATTCTTTAAATGTAAAGCAGTTAGTATCGTTGCAGTCTAAGACCGTAACAGATTTAGATTGAGGGGAACGATAAATGTTTTTTTTAAATGCATCGTTGGTGAGAATGTGAAAACTGTGGCCTCCATTTGATTCAGCTCGCCATGTCAGTTTCATGCAGAATGAAATAGTAGTGGGTTAAAGTTGCGAGTGAGACGTAGGTCATCTCTTGTGGCTCAAAAGAGTCAAAGAGAATAAAACTAAATCAAATTTCTCATTTGTTTTCTTCTGGCTTTGTGTTTATAGTAATTCTGTTGTTGTAGAATTACATCCACAAATGGCTCATTTACTGAGATCAGCTGGGATCTTACCTATCTTCGATAGCCTATTCCTGGTTTAAACTGCTCCAATGCTCTCTCCTTTACCTGCCTCCTGTTTTACTTGGACCTCCTGATGCATGATTATATACATATATGTATATTTACAATGCCACCTTTTTGATCTTAAACTCATGGCATTTAAAGTGATGTCAAATAAAGTTTCTTTTGTGTTTTAACACATCAAATTGAGGGAAGTACATTTTTATTTTTGATGTAATGAAAAAAGTAGTATACAAACAGTTTTTAAATCCCATTTCGAAGGCCTTCCACGAAGCCAAACGTGTGAAATATGGGGCTTTTTCAAATCATCTGCAGATTTGACGCTCTGCTAAATCCTCAACATTTCACATCAATGCACTATAAGAAGTGGGGGGTGGTGTCCTAGTGATCAGGGCATAGAGCTTGGAATACTGAGGTTCTTTGTTTGAGTCCCACTCCCATAGATCCCTTTGGATCTCTGAACAAGACCCTTAATCCCACACTGCTACCCGGGCACCGCACAACGGCAGCCCACTGCTCCCCAAGGGGATGGGTTAAATGCAGAGGTAAATTTCTCCAATGTGAGGTCAATAAAGTTCAGTTAATAATCTTCACCACTGAGTTGAAAAGACAAAAAGACTCTTTATTTAAGAGCATCAGAGTAAAAGGAGCTGAATACAAATGGCAGCCACACTTTTCAGATATGTTTTTAAAACATTTTGAAATTTATGCATCGTTTTCGTTCCACTTTACAGCCGCAGGATGTACCGCATCATGTTTTTGTACTACTTGAAAATCTCAATAAAAGAGCATGTTTGTATTTGCAATGAGACAAATTGGGAAAAAGAAAACATTCAAGTGATATAATTATTTTATAAAGGCACTTTAAGAAATACAATTAATCATAAAAATGTTTTATGTTTATTATTTTTTTTTATCGGTCAGAAAGCCTCAGCGAAGACAATTCCTCTTCAGCACTTAAAATCTGCTTCTCACTAACAAAGCGAAACTGACTTTCTAAAACCTCTTCACACACACATTCATCAATTCATCAACTTGTACAGAACAAATTATAGTATTCCACACTACAGGAAATCCAGTAGTACCTTGTTTTTGAGAGGATGGTGAGTGTAATGAGTATGTAGTTAAGAAAAAGTACAGATTAAAAGGTAAGAAACTTTGCCATAATAAACAGGTGGTGAACGTGCACAGAGCCACCCTCTGTTCTCATATGTCCACCTAGAAATGAACCGTATAACCTTTCAGGCCTTGTTTCAAGAGGGCGTGGCCAAACACCCCATTGCATGCTAGAATGGTAGACCCTTATAGATAACCTATGGCTAGACCTCTCCTTGCCCTCCTGCTCTTTCACCCCATCTTCCCTTTCTCTCTCATCTCCTGCTGTACCTCCATCCTGCCTGCTATTGTGTTCGCAAAGCCGATCTCAGCTGCTCATTCCTCCCACTTTTTTTTTTTTTTTTTTGTAGCCTAGTTTTGAATCCGTCCTATTTTCTGTTTGTTTTACAAACATGCATGCACAAGCATCACTAACTTGTTGATGTTTTCAAAAGAATATTTTGTTGCTGAGGCCATGCAAAGTGTTTTTGAATATTGCCCTTATATGTGGAATATGTCTTCTGAATGCTTTACATAATTTCTGCTGTAAAATGAAATCAGAATAAAAAGAAAATTTGCACTTTAAGCTATTTCTTGGGGTGACGTTTATTGTTTCTTTTCTCTTCATCTTTACTCCCAAACAGTCCAATGTACATTACAATGATGCAGAAATCCTTATCAGTACTAAAATATGATAAAAAGATTTGCTAATTTAAAGTATGCTGAAGAAAATAAAATGAGGACTTTTAAAAGACTTTAAAATATATGTTCCACATTATTAAACTAAAAAGTATTTTTATAAAAAAATGCCATATTATTGTTAGTCTTATTAGATAATCTCCACTAGAAACTATTTATGGACATACAGAGTTTTAAAATGTAATCACATGATAGTTAGCAATACCAAAATAATGTGTTTGCTGTATGAAAGTATGACAGAGAATAATTTTGCACCAAGTAGCTTTGATTTCTACCAATGTGTGGTTTATTCGGATTACTGCTGACATCTGATTGGGGATTTTGTGTCACCAGAGTCAATAGAAATTATATTTTACATGTTTTTGTCAACATGTCTTCTGAAATAAATATTAATGCTTCTATCCAAGGTAGAGTACTGACTTGTGCATGGGGCTAAAGATTAGGGGAATGGCAAAATAGTCAGACAAAACTGCCATACACAGTATAAGAATGCAATAACATGATAGTTAGTGATACCAGAATAATGTGTTTACTGTATGAAAATACGACGGAGAATCATTTTGCACCAAGTAGCTTTGATTTCTATGTATGTGTGGTTTATTTGGATTGCTGCTGACATCTGATAGAATTATATTTTACATTAATAAAAATGATTTATTTATTTTTGTCATGTCTTGTGAAATAAATATTAATGCTTGTATCCAAGGTAGAGTACTGACTTGTGCATGGGGCTAAAGATTGAGGGGAATGGCAAATAGTCAGATAAACTGTCAAATAATAAAAAGCTTTTCAGCAAATACAGGAATTTATTGCTGCAATGCAGGGAAAAAAAACAACTTTTTAAAGTGGTAGAAATATTTTTTAAAGGATACTTTTAATAAAATGAAAATAACACTAATTTGAATAACATTTTGAAAACTGATATTGTTTTTACATTGTTTTAACACATACATAAAAAAATATTTTGAAACGGCATGACATATTAACCGTTTTTGGGCAATTAAACTTTAAAAACTGTAGAAATAATGACAGTGAGTAAAAGGTCACATGCACAGACAGTTAATTAGGCATCCATTGTAGCAAATTTTAATTATTAAGAAGTATATATTTAGTAGCTCTAATATGATGCAAAGTTAAATAAGATAAAGTAATTTTAAACACAAGTTTAAACTATTATAAGAGAAAACACTTGTGTCTTTACTAATGACTTGCTGCTAGTATATTTTTTTATTTATCTTAATCAAGCATTCATTAAATACTATAATATAAAAATTTTTGCTCCTCTGTTAAAGTGGTCATTTTTATACAGTGGTAAAGAGGGCATTTAACATGTTTATTAACAATGATATTTTAAAACCGGTTTATTTATTTAGGATTTAAAGATTACAACACTCAGTTTTAGCAGAAATTTCCAAGGCAACTCGGAAAATTACCAGTACTTACGTCAATTCATCTTTTACCGTAAAACTCTGGTACCCTCTCAGCTATAAGAATCCTCTCATTAATGCGACTTTTTAGGATACTTGGCTATATAAACGATGCAAGAGCTAATGTAAATACTCAAATTTGGATTTTTCATTCAAGTCTGCCCCACAGAAACGTGTCTAATTTTCATGTAATGTCTTGGAAAATTTACCGTAAGTACGGTAAAAACCGGACATGTCGTAAAGCTCGCAGCTGATAAAAGGACGTGGTTTGCTCCGGAGAAAAGTGGATTAAACCGCTCCACGGAGGGCGGATTTTTTTTTATCAACGGAACGGGCGAGCTTTTAACCATGAACTGTAAATATTTTAGTAGTACAGTATTTAATTTATCTGGACAATGAGAGATTTGTGTGTTTTCCTGTGGGAACTCGGCGCTGTAATGCTAACCACCTCGCCTTCGGCTGAAGAAACAATGCGGGCCTAGCTAGCGGAGGCTAATCAGTTAGCTAGCTGAACAGACCACAGAGGGCTTTAAACCGTGGACCGAGCTGTGATATACATCTACTCTGGCTACTCTAAACGGTATGTCTCAGTTCTATATTAATGTTGGTATTCGGTGGGTTGTTTTTATATATACCTGTGTGGTAATGTAAGTTTAAAATTTCTCAGGCAAGACATTGGACGTTGAGGCCATGGTTTCTAAGAGCTAATGTGCTAACATGCTAACACTAGTGTGTTGAGTAACTATCTTTGTGTATTTTATTCTAAATCCTACCAGCGTTATACATATACTTAGGTTAAAAAAGTAAAAAGAAAATAAAAAACATCAATAAAGTCAGACAAACGATTGATTTATTTATTTTTTTCTTACATTAGCTTTAGGAAAATCAGTCGCTCAACACCCCGTTGGTAATAAACTCTTTGTAAAGGTTATACAAAAAAAACATGAAACTACACTGTTTAAAAAAAAATACTTAACTGTATACAAGTTATACAAATAGGTACACAACTCTTTTTTTATATACTATCTCCTCTCATTAAGATGCCTGCTGTTATTAAATTACCATGGGATAGCTTTTATTGAAAAGAAACGCTTTCGATTTAAAACAATTTTCCCTAGGAGCACATAAAAACATTTCCGCATTTTTATTATTTTAAGCATATTAATTTATTTTGTGATTGTATAAGTGGCGTTTAAACGACATGAAGGGAAAAAATAAGGAAAAGCAGCCCCTCAGGTTCTAACCTTTTTGTTCCATTTAGTTGGGCTATTCCAACTGTTATAACACCTGAACAGGATTAGAAGTAAGTGTTAATACATGTTGTTTTACGTGCACATTTTGTCAAGGCCTCGCGTTTTTTTCCTGGTATCCACCCTAGAGTAAAGGCCTGTACTGTTTTCTAGCTCATGATCTGTGACGGTGTTGTAGCAGTGCATAGTTCATCATGTTCTATCGTCCACATTCATGATTGACAGTTTCTCTTTCTCATTATGTTGTAATAAATCATTCATATTTTCGTTTTGGTTGTTCTAATGCTAAATCATCAATTTTTAAAACTGATTAAGATTTATGACTGATTTCTCTATAGTTTTTTTTACTATAAAGTCAATCAAAAACATTTTTTAAACCTTCCTGCAAGGTTTATTTATTATGGGAGCAGAAACTATTTTACCTTATGCACTGTTAAAAATCGTTTTTTTTCTTTTCTTCCTAAAATAAGCAAATGATTCATAACGTGTGAATTAAAAACTTTAAAAAAAAATGCATTAAATAAACAATGTGAAAAACCTCATATAATATTCATATTCGCCAATATGAAAATGTGAGCCATTATAAATATCTTGCCATGATTACTGATAAATGTATTTCTCTATCCTTTTGACACCATGATTTTAAAAAGTGGAAAATATTTGCCCACAATTTCTTATTCATATGTTTAAAAAGTTACCAACATTGTACTAATGCAAATTGACTTTCTATTCTTAGTTAAAAGTAGGTACACAACTCTTTGAATATATAATCTCCTCTCATTAAGATGCCTGCTGTTATTAAATTATCATGGGATAGCTTGTATTGAGAAAAAAAAGCTTTTCAATTTAAGACAAAAACAATTTTCCCAAGGAAATCAAAGCATATTAATTTATTTGATAAATGGTGTTTAAACGACATGAAGGGAAAAAATAAGGAAAGGCAGCCCCTCAGGTTCTAACCTTTTTTTCCATTTAGTTATAACTGGTTTAACACTTGAACAAGATTAGAAGTCAGTGTTAAAAATATGTTGTTTTTGGTGCACATTTTGTCCAGGCCTTGAGTTTTTTTTTTTTTTTTTTTTCTTGGCTATCTACCCTAGAGTAAAGGCCTGTACTGTTTTCTAGCTCATGATCTGTGACAGTGTTGTAATAGTGCATAGTTCGTCATGTTCTATCGTCCACATTCATGATTCAGAGTTTCTCTTTCTCATTATGTTGTAATGAATCATTCATCCCTTATCATTTTGGTTTTTCTAATGTGAAATCATCAATTTTTAGAAACTGATTGAGATTTATGACTGATTTCTCTTCAGGTTTTTTTGTTTATTTAAACTTCCTGCAAGGTTTATTTATTATGGGAGCAGAGACGGTATTTTACCATATGCACTGTTAAAAATTGTTTGTTCCTCTTCCTTAAATAAGGAAATTATTCATAATTTGTGAATTAAAAACTTTGACATAAATGCATTAAAAAGTATATGAAAACCTTCATATCATATTCATATTCACCAATGGGAAAATGTGAGCCAATATAAATATCTTGCCATGATGACTGATACATGTATTTCTCTATCCTTTTGACACCATGATTTAAAAAGTGAATAATATTTGCCCACAATTTCTTATCGATATGTTTAAAAAGTTAACATTTTACTAATGCAAACTGACTTTCTATTCTTAGCTAAACCTAAAACTTTGTCTTACAGGTTGTGTAAATGGTCAGCTTTGCTCAATAACAGCATCCACACCTAAGAGTGTTGTGGTTCTATGACCCCAATATCTCATTTACATTTACATCTACATTTTATAGTGGTATTATATTAAATTGCTTGTTTTTAAGCCTTCTCAGATAATGCTATGTTCATTTAAGCTAGGGTTGGAGATTAGACGTTTTGGTTAGGGAGCCAAAATTCATGACAGTGGAACCATTTAATTTACATTAAAAGATATGAAAAGATGTGACCTAAATTGGCAGAATTTCATTAATATTTTTATTGCTAGGATTCTTTTCATTTTCTTTTTCAAACTAAATGCTGAAATTATAAAATTTCAATGAAAAAAACCCTAAAAACTAATTGTTAAAATGAGCCTTAAAATCATACCAAGAGAATTTATGTTTACAATCAATTAAGATCATTGCCATAATTTCGAAGATTAATAATTTTGATTTAATTCTGTGACATTCTTCAGTTTATTTAAAAACTCAGAAAAGGCTGTTGCCAATAATGAAAAATGCATTAGGCTTTTTGTGAGGTCCCCCACCTTAGTAAGAGAACATGCTTTTTATTTTTGCACATTTCAACTAAATTACTTAGATCACATGATCTAGAATAAACCAATGGAATGATGAAAAAACAAGAGCACCAATAAAAAAAAAACATGCAGTGAAACCAAATTAGCTGTATCTTCAGGCACTTGGGCTCTGTTTACATAATGACATTCTGTTTAAAACGGAATAGTTCTGTTTGTTGACATAACAATGGCATACATTGTCTCTGACTGTGGTATAATTAATGTGACGCCGCCTTTCAATCAATCCAGTGATCAGGATTTGACCCAAAAGAAAACATTCTATACCCCCTTTTTTTAAATTATTTTGAAGTTGATATTGCTTATTCCTTCATTTACACATAAAAATGACACAATGATAATAAATGTTGCACAATTCTCTATTTAAACAAACAAACAAAAAAGTTAAATTTATTATTCAAACTAAACAATGATAGAAAATGAAGGAAAGGCCAATGCATATGCTTTACGTGATCACAAGTTGGCTGTTAAATGCACTAATGAATCAGCAAACGCATGCATGTATTGGTCTATGCTGATGCAAGAAGAAAAAAAAACGCCGATACCTGCCCAAAATATCGACAGCCTGATGTATCGGCCTCCCCGTAATTCAGACACGCTTTACCCCAAATGCTTGGAGCACGGAAAAGCAGAAAAAGTAAAGGACAACGACCTGTCACCGAATTAGCAGCTTAACACAGTAATCAACAAACTGCTGGTTGTTCATCTGTATAAAAGTTACATATCGTCTGTTTTTTCGGTTCACGATTACATTTTATGTTTAGCTTGCCTAGTTGGCACTTTTTTCAATTAAAAACAAGCACATGTAGTAATAAACTGCATCCAAAGCAATATTCTGGCATGAGGCTCAAATATTCATATATACCCTGAATTTATATATAAATAAAACATGCTTCAGATTTTTACCTTCTTATTGATTTATTCTATTCACTCACCTCCATTTGTATCTGCTTTTACTGACTTGATGTGGAAAACTATTCTGTCGGTTTTCTTTGCTTTAAGGTTTGCTGATCAGGCAAAATGCCTCATCAAATATCTCAAGTGAGGTTGTGCTTCACTATGACACCTTTAAAACTACATTTGTCAGATCTTTTACTCTGGTTTGCAATATTGCAGCTGGCATCACATCAGATTGAGGAGAGGTTTCAGATTGTAGAGCTTTAGAAAAAAAAAACCCTGGTCTCTGTTGTCAGGAACACAGGAAAACTTTGATCTTTCCAATGGGGAAGCAATTGCACATGACCAGTATGACTTCCAGCAGTTGAAATGAATTTTAGCTGGCATGATGGCTGCCTGTCATTTTAAAAACCTCTGAAAAATGTTTAAATATAAAAAAGTGGCAAACTGATTACTTAAATATGGTCTAATTTAAAGATGGTTCTCCAGCAAAATACAAATTTTCTTCCAGCTTTGCTTCAAAGAACACGCTGCCATCTAGTGGTGTGGCAGGGAAGCTACACCACTTTGTTGCTCTATAGTTATGGGTGCACATGGAGATGGTAATCAAAATGTTTTCTAAAACCCTATTTTTAATGAATCAATGTTCAGTCTGGTTGCATAGTCTGGTTGCATAACTTATGTATATCTTTTTTTCTTTTTCCCCTGCAGCAATGACTTCTCAGCTGCAAGTCTTCTCTCCCCCCTCAATCTCCTCCAGTGCCTTTTGCCGAGTAAAGAAGCTGAAGGTGGAGAGCAATGTCTGGGACGTATCCACAACTGAAGCCTACAGTTCCATAGCAGGCCAGTCGGCATACGCATTTACCCCAGCCATGGCCGTGCCTCCCTTCGCACCACCACTCGTCTTCCCTCCTGCAGCTACAGGCTCCAGGGGTCAAGTGGTGGTGCGAGCAGCCGACAGCACAGGTAGTCTTCCTCGTGGATCCAGTCGACGTGTCCCCGAACAGACCACTTCCTCTTCTTACAATCACGAGGTGTCCTCAGAAGTAAGGAGCCAAAGGCACGGGCAAAAGAGAAAGATTGAGGAAGCGAGCGAGGGCAGCGGGAGCGGATGTGGCAGCGTTCAAATACTGGAGGAGCTCTCGGCTCCTGCGGCGACTTACTCCACCCGGACAGCCGCCGGTGGAGGAGGTGGCACAGGCCAGTCCATCCCTCACTCTGCTCCAACCACCAAAAGCAGCAGCTCAAACGGCGAGGGGGATTATCAGCTGGTGCAGCACGAGATCCTCTGCTCCCTGTCCTCCAGCTATGAAGTGCTGGAGTTTCTGGGAAGAGGCACCTTTGGGCAAGTGGCCAAGTGTTGGAAAAGGGGGACGAATGAGATTGTAGCAATAAAGATTCTAAAAAACCATCCTTCATATGCTCGACAGGGACAAATCGAGGTAAATCAAAATACTTAAATCTGTTTTGATTTAGTGGCATGAATCAAGATTTTTCCCCTCATTTCACTTTTCTTTGATTTAAGCTTGTTTTCTAACTCTGTTTTCATTAGGTGGGAATCTTGAATCGGCTCAGTGCAGAGAATGCAGATGAGTATAACTTTGTGCGCTCGTATGAATGCTTCCAACATAAGGGTCATACCTGCCTGGTGTTTGAGATGTTGGAGCAGAATCTGTACGACTTTCTCAAGCACAGCAAGTTTAGCCCGCTCCCCCTGCGACACATCCGACCCATCCTGCAGCAGGTCTGAAACTTAATGGCCTTCCTTTTTTTTTTTTTTCTCTCTCCTTTTTTAGTTGTTGTGTTTGTAATGACTGTTTGCATTTTAAGGTGGCCACGGCGCTGATGAAGCTGAAAAGTCTGGGGTTGATCCACGCTGACCTGAAACCTGAAAACATCATGCTGGTCGACCCCATCAGGCAGCCGTACAGGGTGAAGGTTATAGACTTTGGCTCAGCGAGTCATGTGTCGAAGGCCGTGTGCTCAACCTACTTACAGTCTCGCTACTACAGGTTGGTGGCTTCTGATCTGCTCTTATTGAAGCAGCTATCGCTTTAAAAACATGGGATTAGTATTGTAGCCATTTGCAGCTTTGCCTGTTTCACTCAATATTTCCAAACTGCTGTTTGCTGACCAGGGCTCCAGAGATCATTTTGGGCCTGCCGTTCTGTGAGGCCATTGACATGTGGTCTTTGGGCTGTGTGATCGCTGAGCTGTTTTTAGGCTGGCCTCTCTACCCAGGAGCTTCAGAGTATGACCAGGTATGACCCGTTTGCCTGAAATGAGAAGCTACGGCAGGAAGCAGAAGATGATGAACAAATGAAAATAAAAATAAAAAATCTTTAACCTGACCTTTGTGTCTCCAGATTCGCTACATTTCTCAGACCCAAGGCCTGCCAGCGGAGTACCTCCTGAGCGCCGGTACAAAAACCAATCGCTTCTTCAACCGAGGCCCGGACTCCAGCTACCCTCTCTGGCGGCTTAAGGTTGGTATGACTTGTTGAAATGTCTGCTCTTCAAATGTTCTGTAATGAGTCCCAATGCAGTTTGGAGACGTTGTTTTCCAACCTGCATAAGTATAAAAAAATAATGCATTTATAAAACTCAGAAATGTATTGAATTTTGAAATGTATAGGAAAGGCTTAATGTTGTTACCTTTTTTTCTTTTAAGATAAGTTTCCAGAGTCAGTTTGGGTAGTATCTTACCTGTGGATTAACTTCACTGCAGTCTTGTGGAACAGTCAAGAAAACTACTTCTGGGTGGAATGAATATAGAAAATAAAATCTGACCAGGTGAAACAAGTCCGACTTAAAAAGGTTTTAGCAGTTCAATAAAAAGAATAACCTCTGTAACTATTATATTTTAGACAGTTTAGATTTTATTCCCCAGAACATTTTATAAAAATGAATGCAGCTTAGTTCTTTGCACGGATTAAAAACGAGCCGACAAAAACAATAAAACAAATTGCTTTCCTTGCCTAATTTAGTCATCTTGATCTGTGCCACTTTGATTAAATGTCTACCAGTGTTTATGTATATTATATCAAGCAAGAGATTGTTCGGTTAGATCATACAGTTAGATTGTTTCAAAGCTTTCTAAGGAAACATTGCATCCGTTCATTGACTCTTTCCTAAAATTTGGATATTTATGCTTATTAACAGGCTTTAGCTTTCTATGAAACAGCTATAACACTGAGAAATAATTGCTTTCTTGCAATTTAGCAAAAGCTAAATGCAGTTTGTCATCAAATTAAACAGGAGTCACAATTCCAGTTAGAAATTAAAATAAACTAGCAGCCTACACCATGGAAGGGAATTCAGAATAACGAGGAAATAAAGTGGAGTGTATTAATGAACTAATCCAGACAGCTGTCTGTCTTATTGATGATGAGAATATGCGCAGTGCTTTGTTAGATTGAAGCTGCTTGTTACCAGCATCTGAATTACAGAACATGATGAGCAAATTACACGAACATTTGATTATCATTCAATCTTCAAATCTCTACTCTGTCTCTCAGTCTGTGTAAACAACTTCCTCATACTGAGCACCCGCCCACATTCCACCCCTTCATCCAATCAGCATCTCGTATGCCTCTATCTCTTCACTTAAAGCCAGTGAGAATCTTGTCCACATCTCTCCCTCTACATCATATAGGCAGCAGCAACTTTTTTGCATGAAGCTGTTAGGGTAAAATTCTCCCAGACTGACCAATAAAGACATCAAAATTATAGTCATGAAGAACGCCATGCTTCTTTTTAAGTAAATGGTTTGCATTGTCATAAACTAATTCTAACCCAAACCCTAAAAGTTAGATTAAAAATAACCCATTGCCTCTGCAACCGTCAAATCTGTCTCCCCGCAGAGGTTGTGCTCGCGCATCTCAAAGAAATCCTTGTAATTTGCCTCAGACAAATTATATAAATAAATTAATCCTTTTTGATATCTTGCAGACACGCCATTGTTGTTTTGGAAGATACACACTCGTGCCGGCGAATTTCTCGTGACCATCCGCCCAAGTTCTCGCGAGTCCTTGAATAGGCTCCCACTTGCGCTTTGGCTGGAAACTGCTGTGCGTCCCTAGAAATTTCAGAATGATGGTGTAGAAGCATACCAGCAAAACTGGTACCAACCAGACACAAGCAACATTTGATGTGTGGGGTTGCAGAAGTCTAATTTGCCCTTTACTCCTGACCCGGGTTCGAATCTGATCTGTGGTCCTTTATTGCGTGTCTCTTCCACTCTCTCATACCCCCTTTCCTGTCAGCCTACTGTCCAAAAAACAGGCCACCAGTGCTGCAAAAACAAAATAATATAATAAAATAAAAAGCCATTAGAACTCTATCTGGAAAGCTTCCATCACACAGCAAACTGGATACAATGGCATTATGCTGCATTTTGGTGCTAGCATGATATTAATTGGACTTGTTGTATATCTTTTAAAAACTATGCCAATTGCTTTAAAAAAATTACAGATAATTGTCTGGCTGCTTTAAAGGTTATGTTGTAATTTGTTTTTTATGCAAGAGTTTTATCTGCAGCGATCAGCATATATTATTTTCGCTTCCCAGACTCCAGCAGAGCATGAAATGGAGATGGGTATCAAGTCGAAGGAGGCCAGGAAGTACATCTTCAACTGTCTAGATGATATGATGCAGGTAATTTGTGTACAAACTAGGAAGGCTCATCACATATTCGCCGGCTTTCTGACAGGGTTTTTGCTATTTGTGTTCCAGGTCAACCTGTCGTCTCATCTGGAGGGGACGGACATGCTGGCTGAGAAAGCGGACAGAAAGGAGTTCATAGATCTGTTGAAACGAATGCTTCGCCTGGATGCCGACAAAAGGATCACCCCCACAAAAACCTTGGGTCATCCTTTCGTCACGATGAGCCACCTGATAAATTATCCGCACAGCTCACAGTAAGTGTGGAGAGTTTTTTTTTTTTTTTCACAGAACATATAAAAATAAAAGCTCTAGCTGCTAAAATGACTGCTCTCAAACTTTTTATTTTATTTTTTACCAGTGTCAAGTCATGCTTCCAAAACATGGAGATTTGCAAACGTCGGAGCACGTATGACAGCAGCAAGTCTCTGTACTCTACCAGTGCCGTTCCCAGCGCTGCCGCAGGAAACCTCACTGTTACCTTCAGTAGCCAGCTTAACCAGCATAACCAGGTAGGAGCTGTGTTTGCAAACATTAACACAAAGCTGACTGCAAGACCTGAACTCTGTCGATTTATTTACAAGCCATGAACAGCATACAAAGCCTGTATAAAACACTGACTGCTTTCAAACTGCTCCATAAAGGCATTGGGGCAGCTTTGGTGATGTTTATCTTTATGGCTTTGAAGTTGTCATTTCTTTATTTTATACCGCTCTCATAAAAGGTTTGGTTCTGTTTTCTGCAGAGTCCAGGTGTTGTAGCTTCGGTTTTGTTAAGTTTTGGAAAAGATCTTTGTCCCCATCAACCGAGCGGATTTCTTTCTTTTTGATTTTTTGTTAATTAATTAGATTTTCAAGAAATGTCTTACATAACTGACAATAAACAAAAGGCAAACAAACTCCCTTTGTTTTTTTGTGCGTGTGTTTGGACCCCTCTTTTTGTTAATTGGCATCGTTGTCTCAACAGGTGCCTTCTGCAGGGGGTGCGGTGCCTTTGCTGAATTACCAGCCAGCTCTTTACCAGCAGGCAACTATCAACATTCCTGGTTTGGCTCAACAGAGCGTCCCAATCTCAGCCCGTCCTGCTGGGCTGTGTAGCCAGACGGAGCCCTTCCAGCAGACCCTTATTGTGTGTCCACCTTCTACTATCCAAGGTAAACCTGAAGAGTTTAAGTCGCACAGTAATTGTCACAAGCAGCTGCCCTAATTGAGCAGTAAAAAGAAAAATCCAATAATACGTTTTTATTATCTTAGAAGTGTTTTTATTATTTTTATGTAATCACTGATGTTTTGTACGGTTTCAGGGCTTCAGCAGTCCAGTAAGAGTTCAAGCTTCCCTGTGAGGGTGGAGAACTCCGTACCAATAGTACCTCAGAACCAGTCTGCTCAGTCCCTGCAGATCCAACCAAGCATGCTCACACAGGTAAGCAAACATGTTGCAGAACCTAGTGAAGGTATTCCGATTTTCCCACCCTTCGCTGTATCTTTGTATCTTTTATCTCATTGCTGCAAAATGTTATTTAATTGTAAATTTGGAAGGAAAAAGATAAGTTTCAAATGTTTAACCAAAAATATTTTTTTACTTTGTTACCTTTTCTTTTTACCTGTATTACCTTTAACCTCAGAATTATAAGCTGTTTGTATCAATCTGTTTCATCAACTCTAAGTGAGATAACCTGAAGTTCTATTTCATCCCTACTGACCGCCAGAGGGCGGTGCTGAAAGCACTGAATGTTCCCTTCGGGCATGCGCAGTTCGAGTAATTATACCAACAGAGTCACACCTGTGACACCGGATGACCACTCAGAAGCTATATAGCCTGGTGTCATCCTTTGCTCTGCTCCTTTTTTCTTCTCGCAAGCGGTTCGCTAACTTCCCCGTTGTCTGAAGCCCCTGAATCTTGACCAGAGTTGCGGTTATTCTCCGCCCTCCCAGGGCTGCAACGGGTCCATTCTGAGGATTACGGAAGGTAAGTGAGTTGTTTGCTGGGGATGGTAGCGTCCGCGCCCCCTATGGGGCCAAAATGGTAGCTTTAATATTTGCAAATGTGTGTGGAGAGTTGTGTGTCTGTATCTCGATTTGTGTGTGTGCAGTGGGATTTGAAAATGTGTAAATAAATCTGTAAATGTGTGAGGAGATTTGTGTGTCTGTACAACAATCTGCAAATGTGTAAAACTACTTGTGTGTAATCCGTTTTGCAAATGTGTAAAAAATCCACAAATCTGTATTCAGATCTGCAAATGTGTACTGAGATTTGCAAATGTGTAAAAAATCCACAAATCTGTATTCAGATCTGCAAATGTGTACTGAGACTTGCAAATGTGTAGATCAATCTGTAAGCACACACAGAGACACTTGTGTCTGAAGTATTTTCGCTTCAAGACCCAGAAATACAGACAAATCATTGGTTACAAGTCAAGCGGTTTTTCGGTTGGCTCTCTTTACACACGTGATTTTTGCTACTCTTCTGCCGCGTGAGATGCACAAATGCGTAGAAGGATTTGTATGTGTATTTTCGCGGTTTGTAACCCCTTGCGCAGGCTCGCAGGCTCACAGACAGCCTCTCTCTGCTGCGACAGTTCAGCACAACTTGCTTCACATACAGCCACATACCACCAGTTGGCGGTATTGTATTGCACAGTACGTGACGTTACTGGGGTCCTAGGGGTTGTACCTGCTAAGTTGAGAGCAATGGAATCCCGTCAGCTTTCTGTAAGTATATTTCTTTAATTTTTTCTATAGTTTGCATTAGTAAAACTGTTTCTACTTCTTCTGCTTCTGTTTTATGGCGGTTGGCAAGCAACTTTATGATGTGCATTACCACCATCTACTTCAGTGGAGTGTGGATCAGGATGCTATGTATTTTCCCACTGAAAAATAAAAATAAATATAAACAATATTTACATAAATAAACTTATATCCTTTTTACCAATTTCATTTTTTCAAGATTGTTTATCAAATTACAAAAATAATCATAAGTAGATTTTTTCCCCCAAAATATCTTGTATATTTAACTGCAATTTATTTTCTTGTAACCCTTCTCTCCATAGAATATTTATAACAAAACAACAAAACATGCTCCACCGTCTCCCCTTGATAACAAAAACCACAACCTCCTGTTCCCATTCTAAATAAGTTTCCATTTAACCCTGTGTTTCCGAAACTTAATCTAGATATAACCTCTTTTTTATTCCTTTCCGTTCTCCTCATTTCACCAATTTTCCTTTGAATACTATAAAGCCAACTTCCAGTTCTATGCTCTTCCCACAGCTTCTGCCATCTTTCCGTAACCTTTTGTTTAATAATAGATTAAATTTTTTCCTTACTGAATGGTATCAATATATCATCCTTGTCACGTCAACTCCCGCAGCGGAGGAAAAAAAAAGGTAGAGGCTGTCTGTGAGCCTGCGGTCAGGGCAGCATGTGAGCCTGCGAGCCTGCGCAAGGGGTTACAAATCGCGAAAATACACATACAAATCCTTCTACGCATTTGTGCATCTCACGCGGCAGAAGAGTAGCAAAAATCACGTGTGTAAAGAGAGCCAACCGAAAAACCGCTTGACTTGTAACCAATGATTTGTCTGTATTTCTGGGTCTTGAAGCGAAAATACTTCAGACACAAGTGTCTCTGTGTGTGCTTACAGATTGATCTACACATTTGCAAGTCTCAGTACACATTTGCAGATCTGAATACAGATTTGTGGATTTTTTACACATTTGCAAATCTCAGTACACATTTGCAGATCTGAATACAGATTTGTGGATTTTTTACACATTTGCAAAACGGATTACACACAACTAGTTTTACACATTTGCAGATTGTTGTACAGACACACAAATCTCCTCACACATTTACAGATTTATTTACACATTTTCAAATCCCACTGCACACACACAAATCAAGATACAGACACACAACTCTCCACACACATTTGCAAATATTAAAGCTACCATTTTGGCCCCATAGCCCCCTCTCCCGGCTCACGACTTTAGCTTTTTACCTACAGCTTCGTGCTGTTTTGTTTCGAACTGGTGACGGCAGTGTTTTCGCCCCTACTCCCAGTGTGAATAACTTCACTGCCGAAGTTATATACGGCTAACGTAGTTAGCTTCTTTAGTTTGTTGGTGTTATACCTGGTGACGGCAGCGGTTTTCGCCCCCTCTCCCAGTATATTCCCTACTTTTGCATCCTTTTTTTCACCGGTCTGCGCTGCTATAATTACTGACGGCCGCGGTTTTCGCCCCCTCTCCCAACCAAGTGTGGTCTACTTCGTTTGCCGAAGTTGGAGACGGCTAACGTTGTTAGCCTTTTTTGGTTTGTTTGCAGCCTTCTTCATCGGTCTGCTTAGTTATGAATGGTGACGGCAGCGTTTTCGCCCCCTCTCCCAAAATCAACCTTTTTTGCAGCCTTTTCGTTGGTCTGCTCTCTTAATTGGTGACGGCAGCGTTGTTCGCTCCTACTCCCAACTTAAGTTTCCATACAGCTAACGTTGTTAGCTTTTTTGGTTTATTGGTTTTATACCTGGTGACGGTAGCGGTTCTCGCCCCCTCTCCCAGTATGTAGGGAGCTGTTTGGATCAGCTGCCTTGGAGGCGCTGGAACGGACTGCTCAGGCACGTCAGACTAGCCAGCAGCTTTCCGGCCTTCGCAGGAGCATACCTGCCTTTCCCCAGCGTTCGGGCCGCTCTGCCACTACCCCCAGCGTTCAGCCACGACCTTAGACTGGTGGCAGACCTGTTGGTTCCTATCCCCATGATGTGCGGCAGAGACCGAGGAGGGACTTTCGTGAGCCAGTCTGCCGCCCTGTTAGACAGACCCGGGCCTCAAATCCTGGACGCCCTCCCCCCAGAGCCCCCAGGGGCCGTGGGGATAGAAGATGATGCCACCGGGCCAGCCGTCGGACATTTTTCCCATCAGCAGCTGAATTTCTGGGCTGCTCATGCCGTAGATCCATGGGTGGTTGCCACCTTAAACAATGGCTACAGGCTCCAGTTCCGACGGCGGCCCCCCCTCTCACACCGGGTCAAGATGACTGTCATCATAGACCCGGTGAAATCTCAGGCACTAGACCAGGAGCTTTCCGCCCTCCTGGGCAAGGGGGCAATCGAGTCTGTAGATCCTCTGCGGCAACCCAGAGGCTACTACTCCACATACTTCCTTGTGGCCAAGAAGACCGGCGGTTTTCGCCCCATTTTAGATCTAAGGGGACTGAATCGGTACCTGAAGGTCCTTCACTTCCACATGCTCACCATAACAGAGGTCCTTCAGACCATTGTGGCGGGAGATTGGTTTACATCAGTAGATCTGACAGACGCCTACTTTCACGTGCCTATTGCGGCAGAACATCGCCGTTTTCTCAGGTTTGCCTATCGGGGGCGCCATTGGCAATTCCGGGTGCTCCCATTCGGGCTCTCCCTTTCCCCGAGGGTGTTTACTCGATGCGTGAAAGCAGCCCTCTCTCCTCTACAGGCCTCCGGAGTCAGGATTCTGCCATACCTGGACGATTGGCTTCTTTGTGCTCCCTCTCAGGTAGCTGCCTCTCGGGATACGTCCCAGCTTCTACTTCATGTGATGTGTCACTGTTAGGCCTCAAAGTCAACTTGGCAAAGAGTTGTCTTGTTCCATCTCAGACAACCACCTTTCTTGGGATGCATCTGGACTCTGCTACCATGATGGCCCGTCCATCTGTTCACAGGGTGGACGACATACTCCAGCTTGTCCGTCGATTCAGACTGGGCAGGGAGTTTCCCTACATCATCTTCCGGCGAATGCTGGGCAAACTGACATCAGTCACTCGTGTCGTGCCCTTAGGGCTGCTCCTTCTGCGTCCTTTGCAGCGATGGCTCAACAGCTTTCGCCTAGACGCCAGGCTGCACAGGCATCGCAGGCTAATGGTGACCAGGAGCTGCCTCCATGCCCAAGCTCCTTGGCGAGACGGGACCCTTTTGTCCAGTGGTGTTCCAATGGGGCTAGTAGTGTGTCGAAGGGATGTGGTCACCACGGATGCCAGCCTCATGGGCTGGGGTGCCGTGTGGCAACACAGAGCTGTTCGGGGTCTCTGGGACCCAAGGGAGCGCACCGAACACATAAATGTGCTGAAACTGCGGGCTGTGCACATGGCCCTCAGGTGCCTTCTGCCCCACCTAGAGGGAAGGCACGTGCTGATTCGGACAGACAACACCTCTGTTGTTTATCATATAAACCACCAAGGTGGCACCAGGTCAGCACGTCTCTTGAAGGTGTCGAGGGATCTCCTGGAATGGGCGTTTCCCCGTCTGTGTACCCTGCGCGCAGCGTATCTGCCAGGACGGCAGAACCAGGTTGCGGACTCTCTATCCCGCCAGGCACCTGCTCCGGGAGAGTGGTCTCTTCACCGCGACGTAGTGCACATAATCTGGAACCTCTTTGGGCAGGCAGAGGTAGATCTGTTCGCCACAGAGGAGTCGACCCATTGCCCCCTATGGTATTCCCTAACCGGGATGGCGGGCGCACTGGGCCAGGATGCACTGGCTCATCCATGGCCGCAGGTTCTCCTGTATGCCTTTCCACCCCTCTCACTGATTTGGCCGACTCTATGGAGGGTTCTCGAGCAGGGCCACAGAGTGTTGCTGGTAGCTCCGTTCTGGCCAGCGCGGCCGTGGTTCCCGCTGCTTTGGAGTCTGTGTCACGGTACTCCATTGCGTCTTCCAGCAAGGAGGGATCTGCTGTCTCAGTTGGGGGGACAGATATGGCACCCCAACCCTCAACGTCTCCAGCTGTGGGCATGGCCCCTGGGAGGCTGACTGGGTGTTCAGACACCGTGAGACACACCGTATTGAGTGCTAGGGCTTCCTCCACTCGGCTGCAGTATGCTAACAGATGGCGCCTCTTTTCTCAGTGGTGCTCTGCCCACAATGAGAACCCAGTTTCCTGCTCGGTGCCCACTATTTTGAAGTTCCTCCAGTAAGGGTGTGCAAAATAATCGTCAAATCGATGAATCGTGATTCTAATTTTTGTGATCTACTGAATCGATTCTTGAAGGCAAGAATCGATTATTAAAAAAAAAAAAAATGAACAAATAAAATACATTAATGGTTGGCGCACATCAATCAAACCAAGTGGAATACAACTTCCAGTCCAGCAGATGTCACTGCGGATGTGTTGACGCCTGCTGCTTTGTGTCATAAGCATGTCCGGACTGATTATCCTCATTTTGTTATTTTAAGTTTGATGAATCCTAAGATCTTTTTGTTGGTGTGTCCATGCCAGTAATAGTAATATTTCTGTCCAGTATTTGTTTTCATTGCAACACCTCCAAAAGTAATTTCAATAAATACAGCTATGTATGAATTCAGTTGCTTTCAGTTATGTATCAATTGAAGACACTATCCAGATCACACCCAGCCAGTCAGCCACTGGTAAGGGCTGTATCTTTTTCTTACAGTGTTCAGTGAAAATATCACAATGCATCGCAATATTTCAAGTATCGTGATGCATCGTGATAGAATCGCATCGTGGCATGTGAATCGTGATTCGAATCGAATCGTGACTTCTTTGCCAATACCCACCCCTATCCTCCAGTCTCTCCTTGATAAGGGCCGCTCTCCTTCGACCCTTAAAGTGTATGTTGCAGCAATTTCATGTCTTCACCGAACTGTTGACAACCGTACAGTTGGGCGCCATGAACTGGTTTCACTTTTTCTGCGTGGTGCTCGTAGGTTGTGCCAGCAGCCAGCCCCACGAGCCCCAGATTGGGATCTGCCGTTGGTTCTCACAGCTCTGTGCCATCCTCCATTCGAGCCTTTGGCACAAGCAGAACTCAAGTGGCTTTCCTGCAAGACTGCTTTCCTGATGGCTATCGTCTCAGCTAAGAGGGTCAGCGAGCTACATGCTCTTTCTGTCAGCCCTAGGTGTATCAGGTGGAATCCAGATGGCTCTGGTGTTACCCTGTGGCCTACGCTGCAGGTCACTGCTCCCTGCCAGTCGGTGTGAGAGCACATTCCACCAGGAGCGTCACCGCTTCCTCGGCTGCTTTGAGAGGGGTTCCGCTGGAAGCTATATGTGCTGCTGCTTCATGGGCTTCCCCAACCACCTTCACCAGGTTCTACAGTGTCAATGTGGCTGCCCCTCATCCCCTGGGTCAGGTCCTTTTACAAGGTTCTGCTGGGCCTCCTCTGTGAGGTATGTGCTCAGGATTCCTTGTGACATCGTTGGCATTAGTCATTCAGTGCTTTCAGCACCGCCCTCTGGCGGTCAGTAGGGATGAAATAGAACGAAAGTTACGTATGTAACTACGGTTCTATGAATCCCGGATGACCGCCAGAGCTTCTCTGTCACTCAGAATCCTTGCTTTTGCGAGAAGATTCTGTAGGAGCAGAGCAAAGGATGACACCAGGCTATATAGCTTCTGAGTGGTCATCCGGTGTCACAGGTGTGACTCTGTTGGTATAATTACTCGAACTGCGCATGCCCGAAGGGAACATTCAGTGCTTTCAGCACCGCCCTCTGGCGGTCATCCGGGATTCATAGAACCGTAGTTACATACGTAACTTTCGTTTTATGTTGCAACAAGACAAAAATCCATACGGGGGTATGTCATTTACTAATCTGTGTAATTCTTGTACCAACAAGTTCCCTAATTTGACTGTTACCATTCTCTTAATGTTGTTTTATTAGTCAAAGTTTTACTTTGCTAGAATATATCCCTGACTTTGTTGTTGATTTTTTGCTAAAGGGCTTCAAAACTGAGGGAAATCTCTTAAAAAAGCATGAAGGGTGTAAATAGAAATGTCCTTCATTGTTCCTCAGTGAAGACATTCAGGTGGAGCAGCAGCAAAGTTAAAGTAAACAGAAACCTGCTGACTCACAGAAGGGTAGAAATATTAAAATAAGTAAAAAAGACAATACAGCAAGGTTAGATTAATATAGAAAGTTAATCTTAGTCTGTTTTATGCAAAAAACAAAAATGCCAGATTTCTGTTAATATTGATCAATCAAAAACCAGCATAAGTTTTTATTTTTTATTTTTTTCTTTACTAGACGGGAGGTATAAAACAGACTCTTTGCTGTTTTTTTTGTTTTTTTTTCTTCCATAATCTGTTCAATCTTTATTGGCCTATTTTTTGCTGCAGAAATGTATAATACCTAATGATTATGGACGCCTTGATCTAGCATGTTCATCACCTAAGGCCAAACTCTCCCTCATTAAATGCTGCTTCATCTTCTTCAACCATAAACCTCGATGGAGCTAAGAGTTGGAGAATAGGTCTAAAAATGTTATGGTCAGAACTCTATCTTGTCCAGTGATTATGCACTGGGTAGAAGGCGGCTATCTAAGTTTGACATAAGAGGAATTTTGTTCATTTTAAGGATAAAAATATGTTTGTCTTGGGTTAAATCTGGAAAAGCTTATTGGTAGTTCACAAAGAACAAAAGGCGGAATAATCTCAGCAGGATTCCCTCATATTGTTTGTAAAACAGGTGCTCTGAATATGTGAAGAAATGCAGACAAGTCTTTAATTTCATTAGTTTTACTGAGATTATTTTCCTCCTCTCAAGGAGAATCATTCTTTTTAAATGTTTGTTATGAGCATCCTTATGATGAATTATTCCTTGGATTATTGATTGGATGTTATCATCCAGGCTGCCTGTTCTTTGATACTCCTGGATCAGTGCAGCGTTCCAGCGTCGCCTGTCCCTTCCCTCCTTCTGTCTTTGCTGGTTTTCTCTGAAAGCCATGAATTATTTTTTTTTTAACCTAACGCTGCCCTTCCCTATCCTCCCTTCCTCCTCCAGGGTTCCTGCACACCCCTGATGATGGCCACCTTGCACCCGCCCCCAGCAGGTGTTGCCCCCCAATATTCTCTGCCTCTGGGGCTGGGCCCAGGGGTGGGTCGGCCCGCCCTGCTGGAGCACACAGCCACTGTGCTGGTAAAGCACCGACGGCCTCGCGTGGAGAATGACGTGCACACTAACACTGGCGGCTTTCCTTCCCCACTCTCCCCTTTTTTTTTTTTTTCCCTTTAAGTCTGTTCTCTCTGTGCCACACGTTGTACGGGGCGAGTCCTTGTTGTTATACATCCAAGTTTGATTCACACTTTCAAATTAACCGTTTTGATCCGGCATCACTTCTGATCTTTCTCTACATTTTGAATCAGCTTGGTCGGACTTGACGTCATGATTGACAAAATCTTCCTTTCCTTTTCCAACTCTGATGGACTCTCCCCAGTAGGTGTGCTCGGGGCATGGAGCGCATGTGCCTCAGAGTTGGTCTGCGCTTTGCCTGTAGCTTCCCTTTTCTTTTTTTGTCCTGTTCTCCATCCATTTTTCAGCAGTGAAGGTAGCAGCTGCGACTCCTAAACCCTCTGACAAGCCTCTTCTGTTTCAGCCCCTGAACATGTGGCATGCTCTTTCCCAACATCTATTATCAGCAGACTGTTTGGCCTCGGGGAACTAAACTAATCTCAAACTTCTTTAACAGGCACCACGGTTCTGTGGAAGCTTGTCTTCCTATCAGATCTGTTTACGGTGCTTCATCGTTTTTGCTTTGCATGGTTTCATCTTGTGAATTTGTTGCAGGCTGATGCTATAATTAAAAGAATGGCTTTGAAAAGGTTGCTCGCTTCTCTAGCTCTGTGCTTTATGCCCGTAGAAGATTCTGGCAGCTGGCTTGTTTTTTGTGTGTTTTCAGTCTTTGGATCTCTCAGCATGGCTTAAGTTGTCTTCTCCAACAGCAGCAATCAGAAAAGGATTGTTGTTTTTTTCTGTATGACACCTACTCAAGTATCTGTTTTCTTTCTCAGCAGGCTTGGCCAACTGGTACCCAACAAATCCTCATCCCTTCATCGTGGCAGCAGGTCCCAGGCGTGGCCATCCATGGTCCCGCCCAACAAGCAAACATCCCAGAATCCCCCCTGGAAGCCATTCACTCAGCTGCTGCTGTGCAGACGGGACAGAGCTGGCGGTGGGTTTATCAGATCTTTAACATAAAGCTTTTTCTCTAATAGCACTGGTGTCATAACAATAGTGTTAGGAAAAGTTGAGGAAGCCACCAGTCCTTAGATTAGTGTTTATTAGTAGTACAGGTGCTGGTCATAAAATTAGAATATCATGAAAAAGTAGATTGATTTCAGTAATTCCATTTAAAAAGTGAAACTTGTATATTATATTCATACATTACATACAAACTCATATATTTCAGATGTTTATTTTGTTTAATTTTGATGATTACAAATGACAACCAATGAAAATCTCAAATTCATCATATCAGAAAATTAGAATATTACTGAAGACCAATAAAAACAAAGGATTTATAGAAATGTTGGCCAACTGAAAAAGTATGAACATGAAAAGTATGAGCATGTACAGCACTCAGTATTTAGTTGGGCCTCCTTTGGCCTGTATTACTGCAGCAATGCGGCGTGGCATGGAGTCGATCAGTCTGTGGCACTGCTCAGGTGTTATGATAGCCCAGGTTGCTCTAATAGTGGCTTTTAGCTCTTCTGAATTGTTGGGTCTGGTGTATTGCATCTTCTTCTTCACAATACCCCATAGATTTTCTATGGGGTTAAGGTCAGGAGAGTTTGCTGGCCAATTAAGAACAGGGATACCATGGTCCTTCAACCAGGTACTGGTAGCTTTGGCACTGTGTGCAGGTGCCAAGTCCTGTTGGAAAATGAAATCTGCATCTCCAAAAAGTTGGTCAGCTGCAGGAAGCATGAAGTGCTCTAAAACTTCCTGGTATGTGGCTGCGTTGACCCTGGACCTCAGAAAACACAATGGACCAACACCAGCAGATGACATGGCACCCCAAACCATCACTGACTGTGGAAACTTTACACTGGACTTCAAGCAACGTGGATGAAGTGCCTCTCTTCTTTTCCTCCAGACTCTGGGACCTTGATTTCCAAAGGAAATGCAAAATTTACTTTCATCAGAGAACATGACTTTGGATCACTCACCAGCAGTCCAGTCCTGTTTCTCTTTAGCCCAGGCAAGACGCTTCTGACGCTGTCTGTGGTTCAAGAGTGGCTTGACACAAGGAATGCGACAGCAGAAACCCATGTCTTTCATACGTCTGTGTGTGGTGGTTCTTGAAGCACTCACTCCAGCTGCAGTCCACTCTTTGTGAATCTCCCCCACATTTTTGAATGGGTTTTGTTTCACAATCCTCTCCAGGGTGCGGTTATCTCTCTTGCTTGTACACTTTTTTCGACCACATCTTTTCCTTCCCTTCGCCTCTCTATTAATGTGCTTGGACACTGAGCTCTGTGAACAGCCAGCCTCTTTAGCGATGACCTTTTGTGTCTTGCCCTCCTTGTGCAAGGTGTCGATGGTCGTCTTTTGGACAACTGTCAAGTCAGCAGTCTTCCCCATGATTGTGTAGCCTATAGAACTAGACTGAAAGACCATTTAAAGGCTTTTGCAGGTGGTTTGAGTTAATTAGCTGATTAGAGTGTGGCACCAGGGGCCATCAATTTTGAACCTTTTCACAATATTCTAATTTTCTGATATGATGAATTTGAGATTTTCATTTGTTGTCATTTGTAATCATCAAAATTAAACAAAATAAACATCTGAAATATATGAATTTGTATGTAATGTATGAATATAATATACAAGTTTCACTTTTTAAATGGAATTACTGAAATCAATCTACTTTTTCATGATATTCTAATTTTATGACCAGCACCTGTATTTATTATTAAATTAGATAACTTATAAATAAAAACAGATGGTGAATAACTTTCAATAATTATTTCTCCAGTAAAAATTGAGGTCTTTAGTTTCTATTAGTGCTGCAACTGACGATTGCTTTGCAAAATAAATGTATTCATCTGTTGATTATTTTTTCGATTAATGGATGAATATTCGGATAGCAAAAGGTTACTTAAAGAAGACTTTTTGCTAAATTAAACCAGGTGAAACTAAAACTTTTCCACTTGAGAAGTGGTAAGGATGGAGAAGATTTTTATCTTTGATGCAAATATTTACTTTTTCTTTTTACCAATTTTGATATAGTTACTGCTCTAATTGGGTGGCTCTGTTAGCTAAAGGCATGTTTTAAAGCCTCCATACTCCAGTTAACGATTAATTGATTACTAAATTAGATGACCTTTAATCTGATTGTTTCAGCCTTAGTTTATATTAAAGATTTTTTCAAATAAGAGCCGTTCTTGTTTTGCACTAAACCGTAAAAGGTTTTTTTTATTTATTTTTTTATTTTTTTTAAATAGAAAAAAACAGATGTAGGTAAAACTATCAATCACTGTGTTGTCATGAGTCCGTTTTCTGATAGCTTTTCTGATAGGTTAATTTTTCCAATCAGCTTTTGGTCAAAATCACTTTTGAATTCAGTTTTGATTAGTCGTGATTTATACACAAATATATATGTAGAATACTAAACCATAATGTTTTGTTAGCCGATATATTTTTTTTTATTTAAAGGAAGAGTCTATCTGTGCGATTTGGCGACGATGCAACGTAGTGTTGTTTACAATGGTTCTGAATTCAAGCTTATATTCAAATGTCATTCTTTTCTCTTTTGTTTTGATATTATTTTTACTAGAAACTATCATCCAACATATATGCAAAGATGACATTCATATAATTTACAGAGTTATACACGAGTCAGAGATGACTGATTTACTTGAGGGCAAGAAGAAGAGAATTAGTCTGGAAGATGTCCTCAGGCTGTGGTTTGTTGAACTTATCTAATGCATTAGATAATATATATATATATTATATATATATATATATATATTTTTTTTTTTCACCATCTTTCAGTATTTCTTTGTTTGCAGTCCTAACTTTTCATTTGCCATTTCCCTACAGAAGTGCAAGTCAAACCAGAACGCAGCAAGAGAGAAAGAAAGGAAAGGCCAGATGTGGGGAGAATAGAAACAGGTTTGTAAACTTCAGACGGTTTTTGATATCTAGCGGTTGTCAAACACATTTCAGTGTCGGCTGTTGCTTTCCTGGGGCGACGAACTGGCTTTTTGCCAAACAATTGACAACAAGGGTAATCCTCCCTTACTTATTTTTGCTAATTAAAAACCTGAGCCAGCAATTAACTGTTTATCATGCGTCACACTGAGCCTGTCTAGCCGGTATGTAGCTGGATGAAGGAGCTCGGAGACAAACTATTGACTCATATGCCCCTAAAAAACGACTAATTGGCAGTATTATGGGTTTAAAAGAGCCGAGTAATGGTCTTTAAAAAGCAGGAAAAGCTCTTAGAATATCTAGCCCAATGAGATCAGCAAAATGCAGCAGGATATCTGGTGATAAGTTCCATCAGGATTTAGGCGCTGGCTGTGGACCCAACATGGCTCAACTGCATGTATTCAATGCGGGGGTTCTTTGGCTCTGCCTTTTATCTCGTAGCGAAGTTCAAAGTAATTTCTTTCCCTTTAGAGATAAAATACTTAAACGATGGCATCCAAAAGGACATTTTACCAGTGATCTCTTGTTTTGTTTTCACCACTTCTGGTCTGGAGGGAGAGAAATTATCCATTTCTGTTTCCACCTAGGGGAGTATCCGCTGCATCCATACTTGGCAGCAACATGACCCCACCCGCCTCCGCCGCGGCGTTGTCCCAGCCGATCATCATCTCGGACACCCCCAGCCCAGCTGTTAGCATCATTACCATTCACAGCGACACAGACACAGAAGATGAGCGCAAGTTTCATCCAGCCAGGTGAGGCGAGCGTCCTTCGGTCGCGTTCAGCTCGTTTTTGCCCAAGGGGCGTTTTTGACTCGCTCTTTATCTGTTTCCAGTGTTGGACTGAGCCGCACTGAGCGCACCAATGTGATCAGCTGCGTAACCGTGCATGACTCTGACTCCTCTACAGCCAGCCCGCTGACCCCCCTACCCCGCAGCCTCAACGCCACTGGCTCCCTGTCGTCACGGCAGGCTAAGTCTCTGGCTGCGGTGGTTCCTTCCGTTAAAAGCCACGCCCCTGAGAGGGCAGCGGCTTCACACAGCCGTGCTGAGACTGGTGAGAGCGGCGCTTGTGCTAATGCTGTTGGATTTTTATCCCAACCATCAATAAGTCAATAATGATCCTGCTTTGTATCACCAGGTACTTGCATGAAGCCAAAAAGATCGTCCAACAGACAGCCCTGCAGCTCGGGGGAAAGTATGGACCGAGCTGGGCTGGTTCCTAGCCAGTCGCACCCATTAAACCTCAGCCAGGTGAGCCTTCGCTTTTCTACTCGGACACCATTTAATTCAGCTTTGACATCCAGTCTTTGATTGGGAATCTGCAAAAAACGAAATCTAAATAAGTTTTTTTGTTTTTCTTTAATTGAGGAGGTAAGTGAAGACTGTCAATGGAACAAGACGATATTTAAAATAAAGAAAAACAGTTGCATTGTTTTATTTCAATTGCATATTATATAATTATCTTATTTTAAGGGTAAAAATATAAATTCCATTGGCAAGTTATCTTATTTACCTACTTAAATTGAGGGATAATACACCTAATTTAAGACATTTTATGTATTGTCAGGTCCAAAAGAAACAATTGATGTTAACAATGAATATGTTTGAATGTAAATGTGATTCTTGTGTGTGCACTCAGTGATGATTTTTTTTTTATATATTATTTTTCTTTTTGTATGAAAAAATGGCAGACATGGCTGCAGATTTTTAGTTTTACAAATTTTCAAGAATATGTTGAGTTTTATTTAAATCATGCATCAGCAACCTTTTTAAATTGAACCAAAAATAGGTTTTATCAGTCCATTCATTTATTTCTGTCATACTTGGGGGCTGCAACGGGTACTGGTGCCGAACTCCTGCTGTCAATGGGCACACCCTGGACAGGTCGACAATTTTTGGCGAGGTTTTATCAATATTTAACTAAATAAATTATGTATTTGAAGCATTAAAAAAAAAATTAATCCTCTAAATTTTACTAAGTAAAAACAAATCTTTGCTTTTAATTAATAAAAGTTGTAGTCTCTGTTTCAACACTTATGACGCCATATTAACCTCTGGCTGCCCACTGAAAATTTGTTTAACCAGAGAAGGTTGTAAGTACCCGGTTTGATCCTCACAGCCTCCACTCTGGGTCTTTGAGCAAGACCCTTAACCCCACACTGCTCCCCGGGTGCCACACAATGGCAGCCCACTGCTCCCCAAGGGGATGGATCAAATGCAGAAAGTTAATTTCCCCATTAAGGGACAATAAAGGGATTTTTGTAATCTTTAATTCAGGCTGGAAGGGGAACAGATGCAGCCAACCAGGATGTTTGTTTGAGGCATAAAGTTATCTGTAAAAATCAGAGGTAACGGGTAGTTACTGCTGCCATCTACTGGCCAAAGCGTATAACTGTAGCCTGGTTTATGATCTGACGTCAAATAACTCCTCTAGGAGTTCCAGGGTTGTTGTTGTTATTTTTATTTTTTTTGTGGAAAAGATCAGTTTCCCAAATAACTATTTATCTTGTTTGGGAAAAAATATGGAAAATGGGGATGGAAAAAATTCCATAATTTGTACTCATTAATATTTACTCGTCCATCTATGCGCTTTTCATCCATGTTTATGGCCACCATCTATGATCGTTGTCCGTTCATCTTTTTCCCCCAGTTTCAGACAGAATCTGTAAAGAACTTTAAGTAATAAATTTATAGAAAATCTGTATATCAAACTATCAGCCATCCTGCAAACTGGATGCTGATGGGAACAAAACGCTGAAATAAATAAAAATGTTCATTTCAAACTCTATCTTTCTTTTTCTCCTAACAATAGTACCAGTTAAAGTTCTTAACGTATATAGGAACCGGATTTGACTGGATTCCATGTTTAAATATCAAATGTTTCTTATTTTTAGGTTCAGTCGGTGGTCTCTTCCTCTCAGGAGCGTTCGTTGGTCTCCCACAGCGACTCATCTCTTCACCGCCAGACGTTCCCACCGACCGTTTCCGCCTCTCACTACAGCTTCCCGGAAGTGTCGGCCCTGGCGCCGGGCTCGGTCGCCGCGGCAGCGGCAGCCAGCCTGTACACCTACCCAGCTTCCGCCGCCCTTTCCACTGCCTCCCAGGCCATGGAGCAGCTGCTGGGCCGCGGCCATGGCAGCAACGGACACTCCCCCTCCGCCTATGCAGCAACGTACGCCTCATCCTCCTCGTCCTCCAGGAGGGACTCGGCCAGCCGCAAAGAAAACGTCAGCAGCCTGCTGCACGGCCTCCCCGCGGCCTACCAGCACCAGTTTGCAGCGGGTTCTCCTTACGTCAACGTGACGCCCCGAGCAGAGGCTTACAGTGCCTACCAGCTGAGCCCCAGGCGCCTCACACAGTACCCCTACTTATAGGGAACCAATGCAATTAAAGAAAACTAGTTACTTCTACTTCCATTCTATCACAGGGGGACGTTCAAACCTTAGAGTTAGTTTCTGTCACCTCATTGTCTGCTGCTTTTAACTACAAAGAAGCATTTCAGCCCTCGCTATCTATGCTCTTTGGACTATTTTAGTGTATTTGAAATGACTTTTGGTATTATTTGTAACGCATTTAATATTTTCCCTTTGGCTCATATTTTGTCCCAGTTGATCCAAATCTAAGGCATCACGTGTTTAACTTGTTTCTGTGTGAAGAGAGATTGTCCTCCTGTCACTAGCAGCAAAAATACTTAGATCCTCATGAGCCTTAGTTTAAAGTTTCCACACTAATCCCTCAAAGCCTGTATTTATTTAGCAAAGATAAATACTTCATCCTTCTCACCTTTGTCTGTTTCGTTTCTCTTGAGTTTTTTTTTTTTTTATTTTGTTTTTTTTATTATGTGTGGAAGAGGAAGATCCATGAAGATGTTGGAGAAGAGGTGCGGCATAAACTGTGATGGACACATTTAATTTAAATTCACGTTGTGGTCGTTGTGTTTCTGTAGTGACGGTGTTTTCCCATGAATTGATCACGTCTGTATGCAATAGAGAACTATGAATCAGAGTGCCGAATGTACTGATCAGAGGGAGATCTCCTTCCTGAGGAAATGTGTGGAAATGGGGTGTCTGCTTTTTCATGGTCTGGAAAGAAAAATGTGTGCATCATGTGAATCCAGATTTTTAGGACCTATTATGAGTAAAATCAATTTAAGGCCAGTTATTTTATTGCCTGGAAGCTGTAACAAACCACCCTTCCTCTTTTGTTCTGCACAACAACTAATTTATAGAACTGTATTGATACTGTTGGCAAGACACTTTAGTTGTCTGCAATTAAATTGGATTCGCTGCCAAATGGCGGTGCTGATCTGCCGGCGCATGTCGGCCGGGAAACCGTCCATCCCGTGTTAGGGCATGTAGCTGTCAGACGGCTTCTCCTGCCAGCGTCTTTGTTTAAAGGCAGTGATCTTTGGATGGTTTGCGTGCTTTTAAGTAAACCCTCCCACCTTTGTTGTTTTTCTTTTCTTGCATCAGTTCTGTGTTGTAATGTCTTGAGTATTTAACTGTATTTCATCCTAACATAGTGTAGTTAAAGAGGATGTTTGGTAGAGCTAATTCAGGGAAAAAAGGGTTCAAATAATCCACCTTCACTGTTTCCATTAAAAAAAACACAATTTCAGAACATCTCCCAGACTTGTTTATCTATTTCCAACATTGTGAACGACGAGGGTTGATCTTCCACATTTAATCGCTATTTTTCTCCTCATAAACATTGACGGTTTTTTTTTTATTTATCTTTCCAACCAAATGTAAATGTCAGATTAAACCCTTGTTTTGCTCCAGCTGTCACTGAATACTAGAGAAGGCTGCGGTCTGAGTCCCGTATTCAGTTTTAAAAGGTTGTTAAATAAAGCAAGCATTGTTAAGGTAGTCCTGCAGCTGCAAGGCACAGTCAGCATGTTGACTAAGAAATCGAATTAACCGGAAAGACGGAAGGGTTCTCATGAAATGACTTGGATGATTAAAAAACTAGAGTTTTTAACAGATGAGAGGAGAATTCTACAAATGATCCAATAAAATGGCTAATTAAAAAAAGTGATTTAAAAATATTGAAACCAAGTTGTTCTTATTAAAATTACATCTTAATTAATCTTAAAATATAATTTAATAAAAAGGTGAAGTGATTCCGAAACTACTAAGTGAAAACATTAAAGGTTTTTATTTGCAATAATTGTCACGTTTATAGCTTACAGATAATAAAACCTTAAATTGTCTTAGAATATTGTTATTTAAAAAAAATGTTGAGTGGAAAAGCTGAGTGGAAGGAAAACGTGTAAGAGCAAGTAAAAAAGCCCAAATGGGTTACAAATGCCTCATTGTGTCAAAGCCACTTCTGAGCTACAATGGACATTAGATGAATCAGCTCGGTTAGGGAGAAAAAAATTGGTCCAAATTCCTGTTTTAGATGAAAGTAAAGTGCATTATATATTGATATCAAGGACTCTGACAGACAGCTTTCTTCCACAGCACTTCATGTCTCCTATAAACAAGCTGATGCTGATTTCATTTCCCAGCTGGACTTGAAGGTACCGTCCCCCAGCGTTACAGGTCCAAAAGCTGGTCCTGTTACCATGGTTCCTGATCGGACAGAAAAATGGCTTCAGCGGCATCCCTTAGAGAGTCTATTGTCAAAAGGAAGATGACCTAAAATCAGTTAGACACCGCAGGCGGATTGCCTCCATTCCAGGCTTCATCGTTCCAGTAATCCATGCAAACCGACACCCAAACAAGACTTGACTGCAAAGAAAATGAAAATGCTTTGAAAAGGCCTAAAGCACCTTTTTAAAAGTCTGTTTTCTTCAGAAATCTTGATAGTTTTACTATCTGTAAGCCATATGACTGAGAATAACTGCCTGAAGGCCTGAAATGTTTCACTTGAGTGGTGAGCTGTAGAGTATTAGTATTACTAATCTTGTATTAGTACAACAAGCATTAGGACACAAAAAAACTTAGAAATAGACATTTCCAGCATTGCTAAAGAACAGATTTTGTAAACGAAAAAAAAAAATCTTGTAAATTGAAATAAAAATGCAATCTAAAAATTAATGTTTAAATGTTTTGAACAGCCGTTTTCTTTAGTCTTCCTTTATTTTCCTTATTACTTTTTTTTATATTTAATTTTTCAAATTTTTTTTAAATAGATACAGACTTTCTCATTTTTATTATTTTTTTCCCAAAGAAAAAAACTCAAATTTCTGTCTTTCAGATGAGCTTTACAAATTGCATTCTTTTCTAATTGCATTTCAAGGATCATATTCTTGTCCCGCCAAGCCGTATAAAAATGCTGCTGCCAATGCAGACCCACAGAAATTACATCTTGACTCCTCAATCCAGAGAATGTGAGTTATAAAATACAATTCATAAAACAAAATCTGAAAAACCCACCTTTGGAAGAAAAGAAGTAAAAAATAAATAAATATATAAATAAAAACATGGTCTCATTGGAAAATATGAATAAAAATGTAAAAAAAAATACTTTCAAACCTTTCTTTAACTGAAACATTTTTCAAAGTTTTATTTCTGGTTTGGATTTAATTTTTTTAAATTTAGTTTACAAAATGTTTTCTTTGGAACAGCTTTCTTTTCACATATAAAGCCTGTCAATTGTATTTGGGTCAAGTTTAAAACTTCAACATGGTTTTGGACTCTAGCCTGTTTGAGGGGTTTTAGAGGCTTATTAAGCTGAGTATGGAGTCAGCAACGTGCCCTTTGCTGCTATAAAATCCTCACATAAAGCTTTGGTTCTGTCCACCTTGCTTTCACCATCACCAGAAGCTGAATAAGAAACATTTCTCCTATTTCTATTTGCTTTGTTTTTTTACGTTACCAGGATGAAAGATTAGGGTGATGGGAAGTGGGCCTTCCAGTTTGATAGACACATCACTAAAAAGTCAGAAAAGCTTTACTGCTATTCTGACTAAATGGTCAGAATAGTACTGTAACGTATTAAAATCAGTTTACCAGGAGGTTGTTCGCTGTAACACAAAATACTTAGACAACTTTTATTGACATTCTTTATACACAGAGTGCATACAAAATGAAATTTTATTTTTTACAGCTCTCATTTCCATTTCTTAAAGTGCAACATTGATCAAATGTTAACAGTGTGGGAGAAAAAAAACAAAAAACAAACATGGTGCACAAAAACACATCGATATGGAAATTTAGAGCATTAAAAATATATGGTGCAATTATGCAGCGTTTTTGTTCGGTGTTGTGAGTTTGATGCAGAGTGACATGATTCAGAGTTTTTTTCAAAAGTTCAGTTAAATAAAGATATTTCCCTTGATTAGTGGTAAAAGGGATAAATATATTTTATGCAACACATAGAAAATTACAATTAAATAGAAACAAAAAATATTTCTTTCTTTCAAACCAATTCGTCTACAATATTCCAAATATTTTGTTGGCTATTCGTCTTCTGTTAGTAACAAACTTCTTAGTTTGTATGAAACTAAATGAAAAATCTGCCTTAGGTATGAACTATTACTGGTGTAATAGTGGGTCATGTTGCTTTGAATACCATAGAAGCTGCGCTCTGTGAGACGCTGGTTGTCTTTATTAAAGAGCGGCGTGTTGTTTTGCGTTTTTCTTTTCATGTCGTGTTTTCCTGTAGGCATGTTTGCCGTTTTACGGTTTCCTGGATGGAGGCAGAATTGTATTAACTCCTCTGAGTACCCTCTTTTAAATGTAGCCCAGACATGGCCAACCACTTAAAATGTATCTCTAAAATATCTAATTTTGCTCCTAAATTTATTCTTTTATTTAACCTTTATTTAACAAGGGGGAAAAAAAATCCCATTGAGATTAAAAACCTCTTTTTCAGGGGAGTCCCGGCCAACAGCCTAAAGGGACAGATTAGATTACAGTTTGGTTTCAGTTTGTCATTTCTTCTGAACTGAAGGTTGTCTCATTTCAAACAAGGGAGATAATCTCTCTATTCTCAGCAGGAAGCTTCTTTTCAAAGCGCAGCTGATGGATGAGTAATATTTTTATATTACTAGTTTATATCCTTTACTGTGCTTCGAAATACTTCCCCTCTTTTGTTGTGGATTAGTTTTGTTGCGATTAAGCTTAAAATCATTTTGTTTTTCACATCTAGAGTTCTCAGTTACATAAGACTTCTGTGATCTCTGCTCCACATCCCAGCTCTGATGTTTAACATGCAAATCTGCCAACGTCATTTTATAGTTTGCTTGTTCCTGCTTCTACTTGCACCTCAAACATGGTGCCAGGTATTTGGGATCTCTCCTTGATCTTCTTTAACCAAAGAGCCCACACAGATCTTCCTACGATTATGTTCACAAAACTCTGCAAAAAATACGCTCCGGCCTGAAAACCTGAACACAACCGTGTCGTTGTTAATTTTGCAGCTGCACAATGAATTTTAATCCTCTTCTAACGAAGCAATTCAAATTATTCAACATATCCTGCAAAACAGCTGAGGAATCTGTATCGCCTGTATTTATGTCAGTCATTTTCTCGTTTCACTTCCTTGAGGTTTTCCAAGTAAGCCTTTTGTTGGAGGTTTATTTGCTAACTCTTTTGCTTTCGCCCGTTTTCCATCTGATGACATTCAGCTTGGCATGTTAGCAAAAATAAAGAAAAACACAGTATAAGGGATACAGAACGTGCAATTATATTTGAAAAACTAACACACCAATAGATGGTGGTAAACAATGTTTTTAAATCTGAAAGTTTTTTTTTTTCTAAAAAAAAATTAGCTGCTGCAGGATGCTGCATCATAGCATGAGCTCCAAGCATACCACACATTAATACACACATATAGACTCAGATGCATAATGTTTTAGAAATCCATCATTTCACAATTCTCCTAATTTATACTAATAGTCAATAAATGTCATCTTATCCCAGGTCCTTAAAGTGTGCAGGTAGAATTTATAAGAACCGGGTAAGTTTGTATTTTAACATAATTTTTTTTTTTTTTTTTATGGATTTCAGTTTTGATGTCTCACTAATAATTACTATAAAGGTATGCATTACCTTTTTTCCATGCATATACAATCGACACTTGGGCAAAAGCTCTTTTCAAAATTATTTATTAAAAATCTTCAAATTTCTTTGTCACATTACCAGACAATTAATTCACAGTTGGATGAAAAATATTGCAAGACAAAATAAAAAAAAAATGCATGCATAAAAAAAAAACTCAGGATGCCTGATACAGTACATATGTTTTTTATCTATACATATATACAAAGATGTATGTAATGTAAGATTATTCAAATCACAAGTAATTAAAACAAATAAAATTACATTTCATACATAAATATATCCAACATTACCATTAGGATAATAAATTATTCCTTACAGGAAAACTATTTCACACATCCTTACATATAACACTTGAGGTTTTCCTTTAATTTCCTTTTATATGGACTAGAACCTTTTTTCTTTTTTTCCATTTAAAAAAGAAAAAAAACCATGGATGGCTTAATTTACCCACAGCCAAATGTCAGACAAACTTGACATAAGGTGAGAGCAGTCCTTCTAAATCCATACAGCGCTCCAAGTCCACTTCGTAGATGTGACCCTCCAGATGTTTTCTTCCACAGAGTCAGCAGATCTCCACACGTTGATGCAGCGGCACGCAGCTGAAAAGCCGCTGGAGTCCAGATATGAAATTAGTCCTCTCTGCACAAGGTCTGAAAAAATAACATAAAAGTTGAAGCAGATGTTTACATGAAGAGCCATGTATAAAATGTCACTGCACCTATTAGTTCAAAGGTGCACAACTTGATGATAAACTTACAGAGGTGACTGGATGAGTTGAGCTTGTTCTATTTCCAACTTCTTCAGCGAAGGATTCTTCTTCATCTTTTGTTCAGTGATTTGGTCCCATATCTCGGTGTCGATCCACAAAGCCCCAGACACAGACAGGCGGGCTGGGACACAGGTAACCCAGCGGCACAGAGGGCAGGAGACGGTGTAGAGGGCCCCTTTAGAGATGGACATTTTCTCCAGGCAAGGGGCACAGAAGGTGTGCTTGCAGTGAAGGACCCTGGGGACCCTCGTAGTGCGGGAGTATTCATTGCAGCAGATAATGCATTCAAGCTCCTCGCAGGACACCATTGTGGTTTCAGAAAGTAAACCAGCAAGAGATTTCTCCCAAAGATCAAAAGCCTGCAAAGAAATAGTATAATTTAATGTCACATAACAAAAGCTTAAAAATAAACTTTCAATGTTGAAACACAATTTAAATCCAGCTATGCAACAGTGTGAGGTACTCACTTGGAAGCGCTAGAACTGCTTCTCTCCAGTGTTGCCTTCAAGAATACTGACTGTTTGACTGGCCTGTCAGCTTAAATTGAGCTCTCCGCCCTCCCTCCCTCTACCCGCAGATGCCATCACATGACCTACCTTTCCTTTCCAGGGAAGGTAACTCTGCCAAATAAATATTCTCAGGAAGTTGCAGGAATTTTGTTTTGATTTCCACATAACAGAAAAAAAAAATAGTGGCTCAGGGTAGACAGCTTTAAAATGTTATATGATTTCAGGGGATGAAACAAAGCATTTTTCATCTAATCAATTCACTTTTAAAGTCCAAAACAGATTTACGCACCAACCTGGCACAACTGTTATTTCACTTTTTTTGTTAAAGTGTGAAATTAGCTGTGATTTACCATGTCTTTTATTAGAAAGAATCTAGATTTTGCTTGAAGAGAAGCATGAAGTAGAACAAAAGGAAAAGAATGAAAACAACCCAGACTACAATAACTGGTCTTGCCAAAGGTGGCAGCAGCTGCTGCCAAGTTGTTGCTTTCAATACGCCTAGTAGAGTCATACAGCCAACAGTATCATCAGACTACTACCACCATGCTTGACTGATGCATGATCATCATGTCTAAAGATGAATTCGTTTTATACAATCAAATCCTTTTTTTATTTTGTGACTTTGTTCTAATATTGGATTAATTTTGCAAAGTCAAGAGAAACATCAAACCTAAGAACTGTTATGCAGTCAGCCTGGATTTAAAGAATGTGTCCAATCTGAAAAACAAAGCCAACGGCTGCTTGTGTTTCTGACACTTATGATTCAAGGAGTATTCACACTGCAGGAAATTATATAAAAACAGGATTTTTAAAAATTGAAATCTGTGCATTTTTCAATGCATCAACCAGTTAGTTAAGGGAGTTTATACATGCAAAATTATTTATGTAAAACAAACAACAAAGTGACTCAATTATCTTATTTCATTTGCATAATATCTTATTTTTAACACAGCCAAAATATAAATCTAAGTAATTAAATATTTTCTTGAAACAGGTATATTTTCTCTTGCATAAAACAAGACAATTTGTCAATGTAAAATATGATTAATATTTTAAATAAGAAAAAAACTCCATTATCTTATTTCAAGTGCATAATATCCTCTATCTTATTTTAGGGGGAAAATATTCATTTCATTTGCAAAGTATTTTATTTATCTATTTAAATTATCAGGAAATAAAGTATAAGGATTTTGAACTTCTTTTTTCATTGAATACTAAGGATTACTAATACTGTAATAAAGAAAAGTCCCACTTTACCCCCACGAGTTCTTCCTGCTTATTTACGTCAGAATTATTCAAAGATGTTTTGCTGACTGTAATTGAGTCATTTTTGAGTGTTTATAAATAGCTAAAATTGAATGAGCAATAGCTCTTGTAAAAAACAATCAGGTTGCGCTTGTTGTTCAACATAACCTGCGCCTGCTGCACTGCCACCCACTCATCAGCTCACCCAGCACCCAAACTGAAAAAAAAAAAATTCCTCTATTTCTCCTCAGTCGGGAAATTCAGGAGAACAAGCAGGGAAGAAAAAGGCAAATGAAACCCCAAGGATAGCGGGGAAGACAGTGCTCTATATAAAGTAAAATGAACAGAAAAAAATCTTAAACCTAAATGGAGAGACTCTCACAATGAAAAGTTGCAATTAGAAAAGTTTTATTCAATTATTTCACTTATACAGTGCCAATCCCACAACATGTGCCACACCAGGGCACTCCACAGAGACCCATCAGATCACAATCAGGTTGGTGAAAAGTTTCCCATCTAAGGAAAACCAGCTGATTGCCTTGACTCATTAAGTTTTGAGCAAGCCCTCACACCAAGCATGCATGTAGCGACAGTGGAGAGGAAGGAAAACTCTAACAGAACCAGGCTCAGTGTGAGCGGCCATCCGCCGAGGCCGACTGGGGTTCAAGGAGACAGAAGCAGACAAACAGACAATGACATGAAATAAATAAGTTCTTTGGCGCTCGGGCCCCGGTGGAAGACTTTGATGCAGAGGATCGATGTTTGCTTGGATGAGTAACCTAGAAAAGAATTACAGTAGTTTCAGCCTCCCAAAAAGACGAGAGCCATGACGAAGCAAGACTGGACCCCCTAACCAAGAAGCGAAGGGATAGAAATCAGTGGAGAGAAAGGAGGGAGTGGTTTGATGAGTGTGATTAGACTGAAGGGCTGGTTATACTCCCACAGCAGTGTGTCGCACTGAGCTTGTTTCAGGTATGACGTAGATATTTTTTATTTACGCCCAATACTAAAGCGTGGTTTGCGCTATGTCATTCCACGCCACAAGGCAAGAGGGGCAATCATGAACTAGCTGCGGGTCTAGATACGACCGAGGCGGTAAGGGAGTGGAAAAACGTAAGAGGCAAGTTCGTGCGACAACTAGAAAGCTGGGAAACTAATAAAACTACTAAAAAACAAAACTGAAAAGAAGAATCACCAAGTATATAGTGGAGGACTTTCACATATTTTTTAAAAGACCCGCCCTCTCCACTAAAACAAAATGCACATGCACAACCCTTTACCCGCTCCTGAGAGGGAACACTTATTTAACGCGTGCGAGAGCATGCATGAGCTCATGCACTCTCTGTTTAAAAGTTGCTGTTTGCATCGTTCATACAAGCACACTTTCAAAAAGAAGATGTGCAATTTTCCCACTATGGCAGACTCACTTAGCCTGACGTAGTCCTACTCAATTCTAGTCAGAATATGAGTCTGATCCTGCTCCATAGAGCTGTGATTATGGGGCGTGTTTCGAACGAACCAGGAAAAAAAATGCCTCTGCACTCAATTGGACAGACCTACAACCAATAAGAGCAACGGAGTGCGTGACGTATGTTAAGCAACGCATAGTTGTTGTCAACAAAAATCAAAGCGTGCAGTTTCACGCCTATAATAAGAAGATGAGCCTTGATCGCGTTTCTCTGTTCCTCTTTTAAAATTAATTTTCTGTCGATATCTTCTAGAACAGACCTAATAGTAAAATCTAAACACCTCAACTCTCCAGCGGCAGCCATTGTTGTTGTCACCCAAGCGTGCTTTGGTGACATGGTTGATTACGTTACTGTTGATCATCTGTCTATCATCGTATAAAGCCCGCCCTGACAATTTGATTGGCCCGCCAGATATTGTGCGAGCATACTCGTGCTACTATTAAGCAGAGCCAGACCGAACTTCCCGACCTCAAACGTTGTGGGCGGGACTAAGTTCGGAATGGCACCCAGGCTAAGACTCACTACCAGTAAGTGAAAATGGGGATGAGCACGTAGGGTGGCCTTACATAAACATATCACCAGAATGAATGACAACTAGAAGGATCACTTATTTTGATGATCCACCTTGAAAAAGAACATCCTCCACTATACCTTTAAGAGAATAGAAATTGAACTAGACCAGCCATCAAAAACAAGGTAAAAACTAAAAATCAGAGGTTAGAACTAAATGCAAATTTAACCATGAAATGCCATAAGAAGCATAATTCTCATTTACATGCATTAAACATAACAGCAGTAAACACAGTTGATTCAGCTTAAAACATGACTCCACGTGATCCAACCATGACTCTTGAGGAATGTTAACAGATAATAATGTCGATTAACATCTAGGGGATTAGAAATGTTGAGCTTTATTCTGCTGCCAAGGTGGATGAGGCGATAATCCTGCTGTAAACTGGCCAAAAGACTTCTAAAACAGTTTCAGCCTGTTCAATTCAAATGAGTTTGACCAGATTCACAATTATGTAAGTCGAATAAGGAACTTGAACAAAACATTTTACTGGATATTGTGGAGAAAGAAAACAAACAATAAAAAAAAACACTAATGATTTTCTTGTTTGACCAGAGACAGCCTTCGGTTATGTGGCACAACATTAATTAGTTTCACTCAATCAAGCTCAATAACACGTCAGACTGCAAAACACCATGCTAAAAAAACCTTTTTAGCAATCTATATTTCAGTTAACCTGCATTTCAAGGGAGCTGATGGATTTTCATTTTCAAGTTTAACTGCAATGTTATACATTGCAGGATACCAAAAATTACTAACTTCAAGATAGAAATAGTTATTATAACGCTCAAATATTTCAGAAAAAAGGACTGAACGAGACGGAGCAATGAAACAATATCAACTTTAAGTCATCTTAATGCGCTGATAAGCAGATACATCCACAGTTAATAACTTCTGCTGCCAAATATGTCATCATGATCATCTTGATCTGTTTCCATTCAGTAATAATTCAAGAGGTAAGCGCTCTCAAATTTAGGCTGGATTATTAAAAGTTTGCTAACAAGAGATGGAAAACAACGTCACAGCTTCCTGTCATGAGACAATGAGGTGAAGCTAAAACTATTAATTCAAATATAAGTTTAGAAGTTTTATATTCTACCTTCTTTTGACATTTATTTCTGAAATAAACTTAAATAAAAACTAAGCTATTAAACAATGTTGTTTTTTTCTGACTGTAAGCATCAGGTTTGTAGAGGGTCAATCTATCTGCCAAACTCCTATATTACATACACACAACTCCTATTATATACACTGTACTTAATCTGTATTATTTTTTGTATTTTTGTATTTGTGTGTGTATTTTTTTTTTTTGCTTAATTTTAACTTAATTTAACTTAATACTTTTTTTGCCCTGTAAGTTGCTGGTAACCTTAATTTCCGGAGGGAGTCTTCCCAAGGGATCAATAAAGTACTGTCTAAGTCTAAGTCTAAGGATTGCTTTCCAGTCAATGAGTTGATGCAATCAGCTGGTTTTCCTTTGATAGAAAACTTTGCCACAGGGATAATGAAAGGAAACCCTCTTAGTTAGATAAACTACATGGGAAAACATTAGTTCTGTTTCGCAGCATACTGATAAAATTGGGGATTAACAGAATGACACATCATCAATAATGATAAACCTAACATGAATTTCTTTTTATCTAACGAAATGCAGCCCCAGGGCTAATATCGGTGTGACTGCATATCAGAGGAAAAATTAGGGATTCCTTCTAAGCCACAAAGT